CAAGCCATTTTCACTCTTAATAAGCTTTTAAATGTGAAAAATGTCTCAATGTTTCCCTGTTATTAATTTATGGATCTGAATAGCCACTTGAAACCGAGAATCCTGTGTGGATACAGATCAAAGGCTTCAATGAAATAAATTTAAATATGGAGAACACTTGTCATCTTAAAGAAATGCTTTTATACTTTTTAATATATTGTTCTGATGAAGAGTTAATGAAGAGACGATAAAGTATGTGGTTGTTTGCTAGACAGGGTGTTTCTGTCTGGGTCTGTAGTTTACTTACGACAAGGTCAGATGGAGGTATGTAATTACACACACGAGGAATCAATAGGTTCTAATTGGAGGGCATTCCCTCTCTGTGTGAAAGGTAACATGACCTTTATAAGGTCAACCACCTCTAGACCTCCTTATTGTTGATTTAAGACCAATCAGTATACTTGTGCTGATCATTTGGTAATGAGATCTCTGCATGACTTTCAATAAGATATGTTGTTTGATTGATGATTCAAACAAATTTAAGTGGAAATTTTTGTATTTTGTAATTTCTTTATATAGTCTATAATTTAAGAGTAGACATTTTTTAGCAAGTTGTTCTGATAGACAGCATTACAATTCAGTATTAAATTGCATATTGGGAAAGTGTTTCCATATTTTTCCAGCACTTCCATGTGTAAGATACCACAACATTTTCACTCAATTATGTCTTCTTCATTAACTAAAATCAGTAAGATTGTCAATGCTCCAAAAATGGTGGTTAGACAAATTATCAAATATGAATGGCAGACACAGAGAATTAAGGTTAGATGTTGGTGCCATATTGCATTTATAGATCTAAGTCTGAGTATTCATTACACATGATGGAAAGACCAACCATTATCATTTGCTGTTTTATGAAAAAAACAAAAAAACAACCCAAGTCACAAGTGGAAGCAAATCTAGGTTACTTGGTGCTATCAAAGGTTCCCTGTTGTGAAGAGAGAAATATATTCCATTACATTTGCTCCATTCACCTACATCTTCCAAGAAGTAGGTAGATGTGTAATTACATTGATAAGCCTGCCTCAGACAAGGAGGCTATTAACACACATACTTGTCCTCTGATCTTCAGCTCTACTCAGGAGCAGTGTTGTTTTTCTGGTATCAATGGCTTGCCAACCTTCACCTGCCCTAAAAGTCAAGGTCAAATGATTTTCTTGGTTAAATTTTTGTAAAATATTCAGCACCCATACTTGACTTACCTTGGACTCAGTTAACTGAAGCTGTGATATTTCATCCTATGCACCGGAGGAAAACATCTGAATATCCTTGTTTCAAGGTCAAGTTTACATGTTTTAGTTGCATTTAGCAAGTAACTTGGATAATTGGTGTATATATTAAATGGTTTTCTTATCTTTGGTGGATTGAAAGCACTTGTTTCGTACATTAAAGAAAATAATTAAACTCAGAAAAAGTCTATGATTGTGGGTTTTCAGGACTGATTTTAGATAACAGACTCTGTTTTATCACATGATTATGCTCCATACTGTAAATGATGACTGTGCACTTCGTAGTGATTGAGTCAAGCTGACAATTAAGTCTTATGGGCCTCTGTGAATTTTTTTTCAATCCACCGTCAACAAATCCTGCATCAATGGTCCATCATCTGTCCCCAGTTATCCTGTAAACAATTCTTGTCCTTGCTTTTTCTCGAGAAGTATTGGATGAATCTTTCTCAAATTTTATGTATGGGTCCCTAGTTGTGCCCTTCTGATTTTGACAACAAAGATTATTATTTCTTTTTTTTCTGAAAAACTTTCAAATTTCATGGAATTAAGAGCAAAAACAGAAGAAAGAAATCCAACTTTTAAGAACAAAAAAGATCAAACAATGGTAGAAGCCAAAATTCCTTTTGTTTTCTTCTCAAAATCCTCAAAATTTTTCTTCTTTTTTTTTTTTTAAAAAGGGTGTCCATTATATCACAGCCCATTTGTGAAACTTTTTCATGCATAATGTAAAGATCTATTACAGTATCACAAAGTAGGTCACTGACCTTCTGTATAGAAGGCCGCGTTTGAAAGGGATTTAATTTCACTTGATTGACAGTCATTAAATCAAGTTGGAACGTAATCTTGTGTTGGTAGAAATGGCGCAGATTTTCCTACATATTTAGAATATTGAAGGAAGTTCATTGATTTTAACCTATCTCTGATGTGTTAAATAGAATTAAAGCATTATAGAATTGTATCTGGATAAGACATTGATAAATCATATTGGAATATCAGTAACAAGATTTGCTCTTGCTGGTATGAATTTAAAGTTGAATTGGATTAGGGAATTTCAAGCATAAACACTGTATAGGATTCTCTAAAACTTAAACCAAATTAACAGCCTCTCTCTGAGTTTTTGACTGACGGTAAGTGAGACTGGGACAAATGTGTTAGTCTGACATGCATTGAGTCAGTTGTAAAGTTTGTAAATCTGATGAAAACTGAGTCTGTTGTAAAGTTTGTAAATCTGATGAAAACTGAGTCTGTTGTAAAGTTTGTAAATCTGATGAAAACTGAGTCTGTTGTAAAGTTTGTAAATCTGATGAAAACTGAGTCTGTTGTAAAGTTTGTAAATCTGACAAACACAGAGTCTGTTGTAAAGTTTGTTAATCTGATGAAAACTGAGTCTGTTGTAGAGTTTGTAAATCTGATGAAAGCTGAGTCTGTTGTAAAGTTTGTAAATCTGATGAAAACTGAGTCTGTTGTAAAGTTTGTAAATCTGACAAACACTGAGTCTGTTGTAAAGTTTGTAAATCTGACAAACACTGAGTCTGTTGTAAAGTTTGTAAATCTGACAAACACTGAGTCTGTTGTAAAGTTTGTAAATCTGACAAACACTGAGTCTGTTGTAAAGTTTGTAAATCTGACAAACACTGAGTCTGTTGTAAAGTTTGTAAATCTGATGAAAGCTGAGTCTGTTGTAAAGTTTGTAAATCTGATGAAAACTGAGTCTGTTGTAAAGTTTGTAAATCTGTGACAAATGCTGAGTTTGTTGTAAAGTTACAAAGTTTGTCGATCTTAGAAACACTAATTTTGTTGTAAAGTTTCTAAATCTGACAAACATTGATTTAGTTGTAAAGTTACAAAGTTTGTAAATCTGACAAACACTAAGTTTGTTGTAAAGTTACAAAGTTTCTAAATCTGACAAACACTAAGTTTGTTGTAAAGTTACAAAGTTTCTAAATCTGACAAACATTGATTTAGTTGTAAAGTTACAAAGTTTGTAAATCTGACAAACACTAAGTTTGTTGTAAAGTTACAAAAGTTTCTAAATCTGACAAACACTGAAGCTGTTGTAAAGTTTTAAGTATGACAGAATGTAGGAGATTAAAAGGAAGTGTCATCTGTAATTTCCAAAACATCAACAAATCATCGGTGTAAAGAAATAGATAGAATCAAGGACGATTTCTTCTGTAATTGTGAAGCTCCACAGTGGAGTCTATAATAAATACATCACATCAGAGAGAATGGTTTTGTATTTACTTAAATATAAAGATCATGGAATTAAAAACCTATTCCGTTGATCGCTGTTATAGATTATCAGTCAATTCCCGAAACATTTCAATGATATATTTACATAGCATTACACGGTTTTAAAATATTTTTTTCTTTTTAAAACTTTTTTTCCTTTTACCAATGCCTTTAGCAGTATGATGGGGGAATATCTGGGAAATTGCTATAATTGATCTTCAGCATAGAAATCATACAGCTTCCATCTGTCTGGAATTACACATAATCTACCCTGAAGGCAAACATAAAACATGCGATCTTACGGTTCTTAAGTAATTTATTCTGCTTTAAACCTTACCAAGGTCATTGTTAGCAAAAACAAATGACTTGTAGATGGTAATAAAATGTCTGCAATAGAGCCCTGGAAATCTGATGTCCATTAATCCACTTAACCACTATCTATAGTAACCTTACACAACAGTAGTATCTATCAATGATCTGATTTTTTCCCATTTCCAGTTAACAGCGGCTATCAATTTTCAGAATGTTTTGGGGAAATGCAGCCAGCTTGACGATCAGTCAGTTGTAGAATTGTGTAATTGTGTATTAGACAAAGACCTAATATATTTAAAGATAAGAGAAGTCTGATTTATAAGAAATGTACTGTATATTAACTAAAAATAGCATAAAATATTTAACCAAATTATTTCACTCGTCTGTTGTCTATGATACATAATGACTTCATCCATGTCTGTTGTGTTACAAGCTCACGTGCCCTTCAGATGAGCTTACACCATGATGCTACATCCGTCTTCCGTCGTGCATCAAATTTTCCCCACAAGCAACTTCTCTATAACCGAAAAGCCAAGAATAGTGATATTAGGCCTGTTTTATGCCGGGATAAAGGGCTATCATGTTTGTTCAAATGAATGTCCTTGACCTATTTTCAAAGTTACAGGGGTCAGATGCATAGGCACTTTAAATTTTCTTTTTTTTTTCAGCAATCATTAGGTCCTGGGTCATGATATTTGTGTAGTAGCAACGATTTAGGAATATGCTGAAGTATATAGAAATAGACTGTACTAAATGTAAACAACATGACAGATGAACATTTCAGACCCATTGGCTCTCTTGTTGAATATTGTCTTAGGCCATAGCAACCATTGTACCATTAAACATATGATGTGACATCATTTAGGCAGTATTGAAAAATTGATATTGTCAGGAAAAATGCATTTTCTTATGAATATCTTAATAGATTCTCCTAAATGTGAAAAATGGACTTCAGATTTCTTTCCATTTTATAGAGCTGATTTCTTAAAGAGAAAAATTGGTCATAAATTGGAAGTAAGGAACTTTTAAATGATTCTGTGATACATACATACCTTTCTTGAAATAAAATTTGTTTGCATGTATTTGTTTCTAAACAGTTTCTTTAAAGATTTGTAATATTCAAAAAGCTTTTATTGCAAAAGAGACAGAAAAAAAAACAAGTAGATTTTGTTGAAAAATGATTCCACTTATAGATTGACAGTCCTGTATCAGAATGTAGTAACTTTCTACAAATGTGCTGTTGAAGGTCTTTCGCTGAAAACAATGTACTGTCTGGCAGATGGAATTGAATCCGGTTGTTTCTCCCTTAAGAATAGTGTCCAAGGTCATTTCTTGCCAGGGGCGGTGGGTGTACAAATTCTGTATCTGCTCCCAGTATAGAGCCTATCGCATTAATAAAACTGTTTGAAGCTTAGAAGGTAATGACTCTGCGAGAATGCACAATGATGTGTCGGCATCCTGTGTTAACGTGATTTGTCTGTAAAACAAGTTGAACCAATAATGTAGAGAAAGCACTCTTCATGTGACAGATTATTTTATATCTTTTCACATTAAAATGAAAAATCAATTTATTTTTGCATTTGGGTCTGGGAGAAATGTAGTTAAACAAACAAAATGTGTTCTTTATCCTTTCCTGAAATCTTTACAGGAAAGTGTCTGGCTGTTTAACAACAACAGAAGTGAATTGTGTTGACCTAGATTCAAGGTCAAGTCTCTGAGTATGTCAGGTAGAAGAAATATTCCTGGGTTTTCTCTTGTAAAACAACAAATTTAGAGACATAAGGAAAACGCAGAAGGGCTAGGCCAGGATCTCTTAAGATGTTAAGACCGACACTGAAACTCAGAACTACCTGCCTGTTAGTAGTTACCTGACCAAATCTCTCAACACATTCCAATACCATTCATGACATAGGCATAAGTAACCCTTTTTACTAAGTATATTGATATATATGTAGTTAAACACTGTACCATAATAGGGTCAACAGGGATCTGAACGTAGGACCTGTGAAATCTAGAGATATGCAAAAATCAGTGAAGTTGCCAGCGGCCATTGGTAGCCATTCAATCAAGTTCTTCGACAATATGTTTATCATTTTACATCTTATAACAATTAGTGAAGTGTTCCTGAAGATCTATTAGACTAGATTGTAACTTTAAATCCATCCTAACCAGGAGATAAAAATTCCAAAGTTATTAGTGATGTGATCCAACGAGATCAATGCACATTACGATTATATGTGTCAAGGTCAAGGCTTACCTGGGTCAAGGCCAAGTGTACCAAAATAAATAATAGTGTGAGAACTTTTAACACTAGATAGAGTAAAAATGTCTGTCGAGTGAATCAATATTACACTAGGCTCCTGGATTGTGGAAGAACTGTTGCTGGAGTTGAAATGAATTTTATTGTCAGACAGCGTCATATATTTCTCTGTAGTGATAAAAGTTAATTTGGAATATTAGTGTTGGGATGAAATTGTCCCGAGATTCACTGGTCCTGACCTTGGCGTGGATTGTAGTGATATCAGAGATATTCTAGCAATTTTTATAATTGGTACTGATAACATTAGTTGTGTGAATCCCAACAATGCTATAATCTCTACAAGCTAACATATTGATGTATTTATGCACAGAAATACCACTCATTCAGTATTGGACAGCAAATTATTACAGTAATAAGATGGAAGGGATTGAAAGAAATCTGAAAATCAGAATATCTAGACTGTCTGTGTCGCAGAGTGGGCGCAAATACGGGCACGTACATTGAGTCTGAGCAGGAAATGTTATTAATGGACATTAAGGTATTGTGGAATGTGTAAATTAACCATAAAAAATGTCGGCTTTAATGGAAGAATTTGTCCTTGGATGTTATCACAATGACTTAGATGGCACATGCTGCTAGTTGTTGTTGACACCATGATAACTTGTGAATAGATTGGTTTATTGATAACGTACTGGTGTACTCTCCTGGGGTTAGAGGGAGGGTGCTTGTGTACTCTGGGGTGGGGTAAGGGGCTGAGAGAGTGATGGAATACTCTCCCAGGGATCAGAACAGGTGCTGTTGTACCCTCCACTTTTTTTTTATTTTTTCTTTTTTTTTCAGGGGATGGGGGAGGGTTACTCTGTTGTACTCTCCAGGAGGATGAGAGAGGGTGTGGTTGTACTCTGATAAGGGATGGGGGGCTAAGAGGATGCTGGTGTACTCTGCCAGGGATTTGGAAAGGTGCGGTTCCACTTTTCAAGGGTGTTTGGGGAGGTCTTTTGGGTTGGGGGAGTAGGGGGTATGGAGGAGATGTGTAAGGTACTCTTTTTCTTTCCTTGTTAGATGGAGGGAGGGTGATTATGATTGTTTCCTAGGAAATGGGATGTAGATGCTGATGTACTCTTCAAGGGGAGGGTGGGGGGTGTCTTTCCTGGGGGATTTGACAATGTTCTATCCCAGCAATCAGCAGCACTGACTATCCTTGGGATGGATAAGTGTGTTGTTCTATCTCCAGAGTTTTTGGTACTATCCCAACAATCAGGGATACTGTGCTGGGGGACGAGGAGTTTCCCAAGGTATTAACCTAATGTTTTGGGATGGGGAATAGGCCACTGTATTATTCAAGAAGTGGGGTTACTGCCAAGGGAGATGGAGGAGTGAACTGGTGTACTATCCCTGGGGGAGAGGAGTACTATCATAGCAGATCAAGGTGACTGTGAAAGTACACAATCCCGGGGATGAAGAATACTGTCCAAGAAAATCAAGGAATAAGCTGGTGAATTATTCCGAGTGAGAAAGGTTCTGTCTTAGGAGATGGGGGTGAGCTGGTGAATTATTCCGGGTGAGAAAGGTTCGGTCTTAGGAGATGGGGGTGAGCTGGTGAATTATTCCAGGGGATAAAGATTCTGTGATGGGAGATGGGGGAAGTGTGCTGGTGTACTTTCCCAAGGGGATAGGGTTATTCTAGGGAAGTGGGGAGTGTGCTGGTGTACTTTCCCAAGGGGATAGGGTTATTCTGGGGAAGTGGGGAGTGTGCTGTTGTACTTTTTTTAGGGGATAGGGTTATTCTGGGGAAGTGGGGAGTGTGCTGGTGTACTTTCCCAAGGGGATAGGGTTATTCTGGGGAAGTGGGGAGTGCGCTGGTGTACTTTTCCAAGAGGATAGGGTTATTCTGGGGAAGTGGGGAGTGTGCTGGTGTACTTTTTTTAGGGGATAGGGTTATTCTGGGGAAGTGGGGAGTGTGCTGGTGTACTTTCCCAAGAGGATAGGGTTATTCTGGGGAAGTGGGGAGTGTGCTGGTGTACTTTCCCAAGGGGATAGGGTTATTCTTGGGAAGTGGGGAGTGTGCTGGTGTACTTTTTTTAGGGGATAGGGTTATTCTGGGGAAGTGGGGAGTGCACTGGTGTACTTTCCCAAGAGGATAGGGTTATTCTGGGGAAGTGGGGAGTGTGCTGGTGTACTTTCCCAAGAGGATAGGGTTATTCTGGAGAAGTGGGAAATGTGCTGGTGTACTTTCCCAAGGGGATAGGGTTATTCTTGGGAAGTGGGGAGTGTACTGGTGTATTATACAAAGGGGTTAGAGCTATTCTGTTGGGGATGTTGGATTGAGCTAGTGTATTATCCCAGGGACTGAGGGGTACTATCCAGGGGAGAGAAGGAGAAGGACGTATTGCTAACACTGTAGAATTTTGGTATTTTCTACGATTTTATCATCTTTAAATTTTTTGTTTGATATTTGTATTTTTTGGTCACCTGAATCAAAGTCTCAAAGTGACCTATTGCGTTTCCCTTTTGCCTGTGACTCTCTTTTTGTGAACATTTTGAATTTTCAACTTTGTTTGGAATTCTCTATGGCCAAATGTGAACCAAAATGGTAAATGTTTGTTGTCCCCAACACTGAGAGGTTGGGCTGAAATGGAGTCAAATTCTTGAAATTTCAAAACTCTTTCTGAATACCAAAATATGGCAGAATTAAATACTCTTCAGGGATGGAAGAGTCTGAAAAGGCTTTACCAATTGTAAATTTTATGACCCCAAGGGTCTCACATTTCCTCCTTGGGAAATTGACTTTAGTTTATATAGGAAAATTACATTTTTGAGCATAATTTGTTTATTTCATTGGAAGTCATTCAAACTTTATTAGGAATGTTAAGTATAGGATGATGGTTTGTTGAAAAGCACATATTGAACGATGCTAATTTTTAAGGGCTAATGGGTAGGGCCAAAATGGGAAAAAAATTTATTCAAATTTCAATACCCAAATATAGCAGAATCAAATACTCTACTTGGATAGAAGGTTCTAAAATTTCTCCTGGAGAGGGGTTAAAGTTTACTATAGTTTATATAGGAAAATTGAATTTCTGAGCATAATTTGTTTATTTTCTATTGGATTTCTGTTGAAAATAATTCAAACTGTTTGAAATGTTGGTAAAAGTTGATAGTTTCAGGATATGTATATATATTGATCTTGGTTGTCTCTCGGAGGCTGATGGGTGTGGCCATAAGTGATTAAATTGACTCAAATTTTATAGATCTCTTCATTATTTAGATATGATAGAATCTATTAAATACTTGTCATGGTTGGAAGAGCTCATATAGAAAAATGACACTTTTGGGTGGTTTTTTTTAAAATTCAAACATGGTTAGAAGCCTTAGCATGGGATGGCAATTAATGCTATACTCATTTTACGTCAGCGTTACCTGTACAATGTACTTAAAAATATCATACTTTGTTAACAATATCATTTCTATGACATCTTACAAAAACAACAGAAACATTATAACTCAGGTGGCAATTAAGGCCATGAAGCCTCTTGTTGAAGTTTTTGAAGTGCTATTTTAAAATTATACAGAATTTTACACAGTAATTGAATGTATGGTGTTCTTGTGCTGGTACAGACCACTGTCTTTGTATTATGTCTGTTTCATGTTTCCTATTGCCTTAAGTAATTTTACCATGACATGGTGGAAAATAAGAGACAGAGAAAAAAATCATTATCTGTAATGATAAAATAGCTTCCTGGTGTGTTGAATTTCCATTTATGTCACAAGTGTAAAAATTCAACATCATTGATTAAACAATTAATTATTCACATGGGAAAGGCAGCTTCTCGCTCCAAGATAATGGCTTCTCTTTAATTTTACAGAGTAAAACTTAATTCTTTATGTAGATGAAGATACCAGATCAGTTGTTTACGGTGTACTGACAATACAGGCAATATTGTTAGGGAAGATAGTGTGCTTTGTTGTCCGTGAGATGCTCTCCACACTAACTTTCTCAGAAAAGTTAAGACATTACCAGGGATGATGCTTTCAAAGTCTGTGAATTTTGCACTAATAAAGTTTTGAAATATTTACAATACATACACAAAAAAAAATACTGAATTATGATATAAAAATCTAAGATTAATTCTCGGGTTTAAAATTTACATTATTATATGATTGTCACTTTAGACATAGTTTTCAAAGAAATTTAAAAAAAAAAAAAAAAAAAAACTTTAATTGATATTCTGTACGATAAAAGTAATGGTGATTACATGCTATTATTTATATTTTATTGTCACATTGAAAGCAAAGTATTATATGTATAGAAACACTTGCGTAATGAAATAGTGTAGTCATGGTAACACAATTGTTTGTTTTTGTATTTTCAGGGATCATTTCCAAGGACAGACTACGCTTTCAAGGTTTATCTGCCAGCCAGTCGACAGGTTGAGAATAGCAAGATAGGAAGTGCCGATTCCTGAGGGAGCAGGAAAATGGAAACAGCAGGAAGAGGAGAGAGGGGTTAATTTAGAGAATCAATATATCTTGACATCTATATCCATAACTGACTGTATTATATGATTTCAGATCTCGTCGTTCAATGGATTATTCTGATGTGAAGAATGTACTATGATATTTTTTGAGAAACTTTCATCAATAAAAATCATATTAGTCTGTAGATATCAGTATTTATTTCCTGAAAAATTGAGTTACACATTTTTAACCCATCGTCTGATCAAATCGCTGTACATCCGTAGTCTGTCATCCATTAACAATTTTGGTTATCGCTATTTCTTGAGAAGTACTAGTTGGGTCATTCTCAAATTAATTGTGTAGGTTTCTCTCTAGTTGTGTTCTTCAGATTTTGGGACAGATCAGAAAAATACTAGTCGTGCTCTTTTGATTTTGGGACAGATCAGAAAAATAATTAGCTGTGCTCTTCTGAATTTGGTTCTGATCATAAAAATTAAATGGTTTAAATGTTACCATCCCAGATTTGACAGTGAAAGATTATTATCACTGTTTTTAGGGGTGATTTTTCATAATTTTGCATCATTAACCGCAAAAGCAGAGGCAAGAAGAGAGAAAAAAGGATAGGGATTTGACTTATGAAGAACAACTAAAGATCAAATAATGGTGGGTGCCAAAATCCCTTTGAGATTTCTTGTTTACAGAACATATTGCGTAAGATTTGTAAGGATGAGGAAAATATTGTACAAGATTAAATGATTATTGTAATGGCATTCCAGCTTAAAATGTCACTTGAAAGTAGAATTTATTTCTAAAGATATGATTTGGAGCAGCTTACATACTGTTCCCGTTTAATTCATCTAAATTTTGAGCACGAGGCGTAGTAATAGTCAAAATTGCCATAATTGCTTCTGTGGTAATAACATTTTTCATTGGCAAATATTGACATACGTGCACCAATTTAATTGACCACAAACTTATTTGAGTAGCCAAAATATGAATGTTTAATGTATTCTTGATGAAAGCCAAATGCATTGTAGTTGAAATATAATATAATAAAATCTGTCAAGTGGTGCCAATATTGTATCACTTTGTTCCAATATAAGAAGTTTGTTTAAATTATTTTACCAATTTTAGCCCTTATTTCAGAGTTTTTGTTTCATAACATGTACATCATAGGTATGTTGTACTTTTTAATTTTCATGAGTATATATAACCTAATGATATCACGAGGAAGGTTATTTCATTTTCATCTGTTGTAAATACATAACATTTGTTTTTTTTTTTTTTTTTTCCTTTTTTTTTTATAAAGTTAGATATTATTTATTTTCTACTTCTCATTTGAAACAGTTTAATAATAGGATTTTTATATAAAATAGTTTAATAATGTAATATATGTATGCTCAGAAAGACTTCACAGGACAGTACATGTATCTCATTTTAAATAATAACAAGTTTCTGAAATGAAACATTTTTCGTATCACAGGTAGAATGTACATCAAATTACCCATATCTGTAGTGTTGGTTTTATCACTTTCAGCATATTAGTAATTTGATTTTTAGCCCACCATCATCAGATGGCTGAAAACAATGGATGACATTATCTTTCTTTATTCCAGGAATTATGCTATGGTTTTAATCAATAAAACATGAAGAACAATTGATAGATTATTTCAAAACTAAATATCCCTCTAAAAGATATTTACAAGAGATTTAAAACTGATAAAATGAATGTGTCTCATCCATGAACATTCATCTCATGAATATAAAGTGATGTTTTAAACAGAACCATATTTATCTGGAAATAAGCCCATCCAAATCTATTTGTGTTCAATGGAGAAACAAACAAGTACTTTTCATTGTGCTGTAATAAGCCCACCCTCTTTTCATCAGAGGTATTGGTCATGCTTGGTAATAAGCCCACCCTCTTTTCATCAAGGGAATTGGTCATACTTGGTAATAAGCCCACCCTCTTTTCATCAAGGGTATTGGTCATACTTGGTAATAAGCCCACCCTCTTTTCATCAGGGGTATTGGTCATGCTTGATAATAAGCCCACCCTCTTTTCATCGGGGGTATTGGTAATGCTCGGTAATAAGCCCACCCTCTTTTCATCAAGGGTATTGGTCATACTTGGTAATAAGCCCACCCCCTTTTCGTCAGAGGTATTGGTCATGCTTGGTGATAAGTCCATCCCCCTTTCATCAGAGGTATTTGGTCATGCTTGGTGATGAGCCCATCCTCTTTTCATCAAACGTATTGGTCATGCTTGGTAATAAGCCCATCCTCTTACAGTCAGGGGGCTGCAGAGACTGAATGGTTCAAGCGTCTGACAGTGTTTATCACTTGCCTTCTACCTCTAGGTTGTTATTCCCCGGAAATTTAATTAAGTCCATCCCCTTACCTCAGAGGTAATGGTGATAGTTGTCTGGGCTTATTGCAGGATAAATATGGTGTTTGATACAAATCTTTATTATTATTCATTTTTTTATCTTCTTTACGTCTGAAACTTTAAAACGATTCAGATGATTCATTAGTATGTTTATGCACATTCTTTGATGATATGTGTGACATTAGAAATATTTTGGATAAAATTTCAACATTTATTTAGAGCTGAACGTTTGGAAAGAGGTATATGCACACAAGACTGCAGAATACCTGTAATGATTTGAAGGGGCCTTACTAGAATTTATGGGGGGTGGGGTTGGAGGGCACATTTGTACCATACATAGACTCATCACTGGTAAAATATTATGATTTATTGTCAAGACTGATATAACCATATTCACACAGATTGACAGTGTGTGAAGTTACTTGAAGTGTGAGGGCAACTATCTCATAGATGAGGGAAATTCCAGACAAAACACATGATGAGAAAATATATACGGTGAACTGTTTGTAACTTTATAGATCATTCTGTAGAAATATAACTAAGGAGTTTATGATTTCAATTCTGAATCATTGCTACAAGTTCTTTATACTAAAAGCTTTACAAGCTCAGAGATCTAACATTAGGTTTTTTTTTTTTTTTTTAAATCTCCCAATTTAGCCTCCTAAATGTAAATTTAATGGTTACAAAATTGAATGGAATTCTTGTCTGTTTTCAAATTATATCATTTGTACAGCTTGATTTGATAGGAAGGTTAATGGGAATGATAATATGAAAGATGGTAATAAAATGTATTCTGCTGTGCAGAAAAATTAATAAATCATCTGTCAGCTGAAGTGTTGTTATCTGTTTATTTGGAGGTGAGCAAGAACGTTTGGTGCTCAACAGAAGACCCACAGAGTCGACCCATTAATTGTTGATGACTCAAAGGTCCAATAAACATTTGTCCTTGGTCCACAAGTTTCCCCAGTGCACAGGTCATTAAGTCTAACACACCCATATGGTACATACATTGTGCACCGATGTATTGCATTATGAATTAATGATTGTAGCTGGTGTCATGCTTTGCAAATGATTCTAAAATTTCACAAAGACATTAGGATTGTGATCCTCACGGCTTGGAGGAGCTTAAATTTGTTAGTGATTAGGGAATATCTGAAAGCTACTTCTGGTGTGAGAGTTGTCTGACATTTTGATAGTTTAAAACTAATTTGGTTTATAAAAAAATCACTGGTAATTCCCTCAACTGTGCTATTTTTAAGAAAAATCTGAAAAAAGAATGCTGTGTACAATGTAATGGTTTTGAAATCAATCTGAAAACATGTTTAGGTAGTGATAAAACCGATTTTTGTCAATTATTCAAAATCTTCATGAACCTTTCCAACAAAAAATACTAAATACCTTATAATTACCTATGAAACTATGATAGCTGATTATTTTAGCTGAACTAGAGAGTAAGGTGGAACATGAAAAGGAAGTTTTTAGAACTTATTCCAGTTAGTATGCTGGTAGATAACTATTAAAGATATTCTGTTATTGCATGTGTTTTTATCAATGAAGTTGATATGAAAATATAATTTGCTGCAATGAACTGCTCCTTAACAATCTTAATCTCTTGCATGTTTAAAACTGAATGATCACACCTTGCATGACAAACAATATAAATATAATTATCTTAACTTGGATCACAAATAATACAAAAATAATTATCTTAACTCGAATGACAAACAATACAAATATAATTATCATAACTTGGATGACAAACAATACAAATATAATTATCATAACTTGGATGACAAACAATACAAATATAATTACAAATGTAATTATCTTAACTCAGATGACAAAAAATGATTAAGCTTCTTGAGGTAATAGGTAAAATATTGTGATATTTATTATATGTAGGTTTATTGCTTATAGTTGAACATACCTTATAAAATTGTAATTGATGATTATGTTAAGTGTGGAGGTGGCAGACACACCATCCTTGTCAGGCTGGCGCCAAGAGCCACATGACTGATTACAGGATGATTGTAATGATGAGGATACCGTTACACTACCAGAAACAGATACACAACAGAAGCCCTGAAGTCACAATACAGCGTCTAGGTCAGGAATCAATACTGAAGATAAAAAAAATTATCAGGATGACTTATCTCAAGGATAAATACAAACGTTCCAAACCCATTACAATTGTTTATCATCCATGAATAAAATAGATTTTGTCACTTGAAAAATATGACAATGACAATTGCGTTAAAGAAAGGATGTTATTGTGCAATAACAGCGCATGTGGTGTTGGAAACTGTTTACAAGACTCCAGATTTTGTTTTAGTCTACTTCAACAGATTACCGACATCTTTGACTTTCCATTCTGACTGTCTGTATTACCTTTGTGCCAGTTTGATATACATGCACAGGTTATAGACAGACTAGTGGGAGGAGAAGACATTGTTGACCCAGTTTGATAGACGAGAAAAGACAGTCTGAAGAACCTTACCCTTTTATTGACTTTTAACAAAATAAAACAATTGTCGTGCTGAGACCAAGAAAACTGAAGGATCAGCCAATGAGAGAACCTTGACATGTCCTTAAATCAGAAATCTTGCAGGGCAAAGCACAACTTCTTTTTACATTCCAATGCCAGAACAGTATAAAAATGTATCTTGAATTTTAGGAAATGAAAACTTCAAATACTTTCCAAGCTCATAAAGGTCACGCCCATGAAAAAGATGTAGAGCATGCTGTACTCCAGGGCCCGTATTCATGAAACCATTTTCATGCTCAAGCATAGATTTTGTGCTGAAGCAAACTTTTTTATAATTCGCCTAAATCATATAAAATAATACAAATGTATATAAACATTGAATATAACTTTGACTTGAAGTCCCTTCAAATTCTTTTTATCTAAATCATTGGCAAAATCAGCTTTATTTATTAATTTTAACTTAACCAAGACATAAGACTTGAGCACAAAATTCATTCTTGAGCATGAGAATGGTTTCATGAATATGGGCCCAGGTCTCTTAAAACCAAGTCCTTTGTTCAAGGCAGACAGGGAGTTTTTCATGATTGTCTGTGGTTTTGCTCCCTTGCATCTGCTAAGGTCATATGAAGGCAATGTCAATGGGTGATGAAACAACACAACCATGTTTTTATAGTGCCATCACACTGGAACGTCGTATTTTAGACATGAAGGCAACCCACCTGCTGTCTCAACTGAGTGTCAGGGGAGCGAATCAAAATGTTTTGTTGTATGGGCACACTAAGTTGATATGTGAGGTACATGCCTTACCAAGTGAGGCACTTAGAAGGTTGGTAGCAGGCGACAGAAATTTCAGATAGAGCTGCTTTATTGGTTTATGCAGTGAGACTGCAAGTACAATTGTTATGCCTAACCTCCAAAGAAAGGAATGCTATGTGGACAGTACTAGCTTCATAAACACTAATTTTCAAAAGTCTGCTGCATTATTAAAAGTAGATGTCAAACCTTAATCAAAGACCAGTAAAGATACACTAGGTCTTCACTGAACATTAGCGAAAACCAAAAGCCAATCTACAACAAAAGTATAAGACTACATTCTGTTGCTAAGCCCATCCATGAAAATATTAGGAAATCAATGTTATTGACCAATGAATGAACATGGATTTCCATGCACCACTGTTCTTACTACAACTGTGCTGTGAATCAACATGGATAACTATGTTGCCATAATGATAAGACACCTAGGAAGTTGACCTCATTCTGCCGTATCCTCTTTAAAAATTTGAAAAAGTGAGCATGGTGGTCATACAACTTCTAAAGAGTTGAAATGATAACTCTGATTTATCACCAGAGTAAAAAACACTTAGAAGTCCTGTATTTTTGTTTTCTTGTTAACAAAACTTAGTAGTATTTGAACTTATGCTGTCGCTTATCATCCCTCTGTCTAGTGTCAACTTTTCTTTTGATAACCAAAAGGTCCTGGGTACCGATATGGGCCTGTAGCATGCTGTGATGAAGGGCTATCGATTCTGTTCAAAGGAATTACCTTGACCTACTTTCAAGGTCACATGGGTCAAATTTGGTAAAAAAAATTCTTTGAACAACACCTTGTCAATAACCATTAGACCTTGGGTAATGATATTGGGCTAGTAGCATAATGGGAAATTGTTCAATGATCATGTCCAACTTTTAAGGTCACAGAGAGGAAATGCATCTTCAGACAACTGATACGTCAAGAACCCAGGGCACTGATATTGGACCTAAAGCATGCTGGGATGAAGGGCTACTACCAAATTTGTTCAAATGAATGATCTTGACTCACTTTAAAGGTCATGGGTCAAATGTCTTTAAATCTTCAAAGGACTTCTGAATACCCAACAGGCCATGATTACTTGTATAAGGCATGTAATATGCTGGGGTAATAAACTACAATGTTTGTTCTAATCATGACTTTGACCCAATTTCAAGGTCACGTGCGTATTTTCCCTAATTAAAATCTTCAAAAAATATCATTGGTCACAATCTTTGCACAACTCTTCCTTGATAATTAAGAGCCACAAGGTCATGATAACGGTCCAGCAAAAGGCTGAGATGAAGAGTTGGCACCAAGTTTGATAGCTTTGACCAACTTCCATTGAACATAAATCAATTTACTTCTAGCACATGTATAAATGTTTCAAATTGTTTTGAAAAAAAGTACAATTTTAAAGTGTTATGAATCAAAGGTTTTGGTTTATGCATACGGCTGTCTTTCATCAATTGTAAATTTTACCGTGCCATTTCAGACACATATCGTCCGTTGGTCATCCGTTTGTTGGTCAGTTTTGTTGAGATTTCTCTTCACGTCAGTCGTATAGAGAAAAAAATCTGGGATCTGGTCCAATATACTCGTAAACTAAATAACAGTGTCTATTCATGTGTTATGTAAAGATGGCACAATCGACATTTTACCTATTCTTGCCCCCTTTCATTACAGTAGAAAATTTGTCGGCAGAACTCTCGAGTTTCTTCCGTGACTCTATGACTCTTCAGGATTGGAGGGAGGAAAATCCCTCATACTCTTTAACAGGATATTGGTTTTTCCCTTGTTCCCCCGTAAACTGACGCCGTGACAGGGGATTGGAATGCAGTTACCCAGATATTAGATCATATATATATATAGATAATTTGAATGATGTGTGATATCTGCTGTTTGTTTTTTAATGTCATATATATGTGACATTTTCAAATTCCCTTCAGAACAGCCGACAAAAGTCTGCTGATCACGTTTATATTAAAATTTCTATGTTTTAACAGAGACGTATATACGTCTCTGGTTTTAACGACAATATTGCTGAAAAACAGGACAGATACATCTTTCTATTGTTTCTGAGGGTGTGGTTTTATTAAAGCGTTGCTGTTGGGTGCCGTTATTCTGTTATGGTTTTGATTCTGATAGCAAACTTTATACATACAATTCATAAAATGACTGCCTATCTACTAATTGACCTATTATCGACATGTATTTTATTTTACTCATTATGTGTCCAAAATGTAGCGATCTTACCCAGGAAACGTGTGAATTGGCGATCCTTGACGAGAACAGGTAGGCGACTTGTATGAAGAATTTTGCCATTGTTCATTTTTCCTAAATCACCTATATTCAATCTTTTTTATTTTGAGTCAGCAACCAATCACGTGTTAGGAAAACAATCCTGCTGAGCATGCGTGAAACTGTTATGGTTCGTTCCAAATAATGCCGTTTGCATAGAATAGCAGCCATATTTGAAAGTTTTGAAATCTTCAATTTGAACGAGAAGATGAACAAATATGGCCCACCACCAATTATGAAACGCTCTTACAACGAAAAAAGTGATTGTATACAGTTAGCTTTAAACCTTAAGGAGAGAAGGCAATGTATCTCATTGTAAACAATGAGTTTAAATACGGACACATTCTTCAAAACTTGAAATTGGCTCGTGCATTGAACCGCTTATGACAGGGACCAGTGGTAATATGTAATTCATAACGAGCCAGTTTAGGAAATTCATCCCGCCATATCCAATATGTCGACACAATTCAATGACAACGTTTACAGATAGGGACGCATACCTTGTGACTTCAACCTCACTTAGGTTATGTCTGTAGTGTCGATGGTTTTTTTTTATACAGAATCAATAAAAGCATGAGCTGTATCGGAAAATAGTTTGTTTAAATTCAGTATCATAGTTGACGTAACGATTTTTTAGAAAATCCTCATCGGACTCTCTTGTAGCTAAATTTCAAACAAGATTTCGATCAAACTTCGCACACTGATAAAAGGACTCCTATGTCGGAAATGTTCGAGTTTTAGGGAAGTGTGATCAAGAGGAAGGTCACTGTTTTATCGAACTTTACACACTTGTGAATGACTGATATCCGGGGAAAGATTGAATTTCGGGGTTATAAGGTAAAGCTCAATGCCACTGCTACAATTTTTTTTATAAAATCATTGTCAACACCTAAGCGGCTTCATGTCATAAGGATTTCAATGAAACTTCAGGTTATCTTAAGTACCATAATATCAAGGACAGGTTTGAACACTCATGTTGCTTCGTTTCTTTAGGGAATTTTATCAAACTTCAGACACCTGACCATATCCTAAAGTCAAGTTAGAACCGCAAGGGGATTTGAATCAATTGCGAAACCTTGCAGTTCTTATCGAGTAATCATTAATTGATCATTGAATACAGTATCAGATAAAATACCGACATAAGGACCATCAGGATGTTGCAGGTCTGAAGTAACTGATGCACTGTGACTGTACCAAAACAGCCCACTGACCTGATTTTATTAAAATTCCATTTCAATTTAATAAAAAAAAAACACCTTAAAAATAAACTGGCAAAACAAAAAACAAAAAAACACATGATGTGTATTGTTTATCAGACTATAGATATAGTCTACTTGTACGGTACCCTGACGAGAGATGTAGTGGTGGTTTACGGTACCATGGCGATAGATGTAGTCGTGGTTTACGGTACCATGACGACAGATGTAGCACGGTACCATGACGGCAGATATAGTTGTGGTTTACGGTACCATGACGACAGATGTAGCAAGGTACCATGACGACAGATATAGTCGTGGTTTACGGTACCATGACGACAGATGTAGTCGTGGTTTACGGTACCATGACGACAAATGTAGTTGTGGTTTACGGTACCATGACGACAAATGTAGTCGTGGTTTACGGTACCATGACGACATATGTAGTCGTGGTTTACGGTACCATTACGACAGATGTAGTCGTGGTTTACGGTACCATGACAACAGATGTAGTCGTGGTTTACGGTACCATGGCGACAGATGTAGTCGTGGTTTACGGTACCATGACGACAAATGTAGTTGTGGTTTACGGTACCATGACGACATATGTAGTCGTGGTTTACGGTACCATTATGATAGATGTAGTGGTGGTTTACGGTACCATGACAACAGATGTAGTCGTGGTTTACGGTACCCGGATGAGAGATGTATTGTAGTCGTGGTTTATGGTATTATGACGACAGATGTAGCACGGTACCATGACGACAGATATATTCGTGGTTTACGGTACCATGACGACAGATGTAGTCGTGGTTTACGGTACCATGACGACAGATGTAGTCGTGGTTTACGGTACCATGACGACAGATGAAGACGTGGTTTACGGTACCATGACGACAGATGAAGACGTGGTTTACGGTACCATGACGACAGATGTAGTGGTGGTTTACGGTACCATGACGACAGATGTAGTCGTGGTTTACGGTACCATGACGACAGATGTAGTCGTGGTTTACGGTACCATGACGACAGATGAAGTCGTGGTTTACGGTACCATGACGACAGATGTAGTCGTGGTTAACGGTACCATTACGACAGATGTAGTCGTGGTTTACGGTACCATGACGACAGATGTAGTCGTGGTTTACGGTACCATGACGACAGATGTAGTCGTGGTTAACGGTACCATGACGACAGATGTAGATGTTGTTTACGGTACCATGACGACAGATGTAGTGGTGGTTTACGGTACCATGGCGACAGATGTAGTGGTGGTTTACGATACCGTGACGACATATATAGTCGTGGTTTACGGTACCCTAACGACAGTTTTAGTCGTGGTTTACGATACCATGACGACAGATGTAGTCGTGGTTTACGGTACCATGACGACAGTATAGTCGTTGTTTACGGTACCCTAACGACAGTTGTAGTCGTGGTTTACGGTACCATGGCAACAGATGTAGCCGTAATTTACGGTACCCTAACGACAGATGTAGTCGTGGTTTACGGTACCATGACGACAGTTGTACTGGTTTATGGTATACTAACGATAGATGTAGTTGTTGTTTACCGTACCCTAATAACAGATGTAGTCGTAGTTTACGGTACCCTAACGACAGATGTAGTCGTGGTTTACGGTACCATGACGACAAATGTAGTTGTGGTTTGCGGTACCATGACGACATATGTAGTCGTGGTTTACGGTACCATTACGACAGATGTAGTGGTGGTTTACGGTACCATGACAACAGATGTAGTCGTGGTTTACGGTACCATGACGACAGATGTAGCACGGTACCATGACGACAGATATATTCGTGGTTTACGGTATCATGACGACAGATGTAGTCGTGGTTTACGGTTCCAATACGACAGTTGTAGTTGTGGTTTACGGTACCATGACGACAGATATAGTCGCGGTTCACGATATGATGACGACAGATGTAGTCGTGGTTTACGATACCATGACGACAGATGTAGTCGTGGTTTACGATACGATGGCGACAGATATAGTCGTGGTTTACGATACCATGACGACAGATATAGTCGTGGTTTACGATACCATGACGACAGATATAGTCGTGGTTTACGATACCATGACGACAGATGTAGTCGTGGTTTACGGTACCATGACGACAGTTGTACTGGTTTATGGTATCCTGATGACAGAGAGCTGCCCTGGCGACACACCTTGACCACACATGGAGCAGGTGTGTACGGTAATCTCACGACAGCTATTGACAAGGCAAACGGTATCCGGGCGACAAAGCCGAGGTGTACGATAACCTGACAGCAGATTTAAGTTTACAGTTATTGGGTGCCGTTTTACTTAAAACGATCAGGTGCAATCACCCGTTGAATAGATGATATCACTATTATCAAGTGACATCGTGTATTCAACCCCTTCATCATAGTGATGTCATCGATTTCATCAAAATGAATGCGATATCGCCGTGAATTGCGTTAAAAAGTAAAACGGCACCCCACATACAGTACCCTGACCACATATGGGTGGTCGGTGCCGCAGCGGTAACGCACTCGCCTGTCACACAGATGTCTGGGGTTCGATTCCCGACACAGATGTAAAAAGGTATGGTCACCTGCCCGATCACGTGAGTTCCCCCCCCCCCCCCCAAGTTTTCTCCCACAGTAAGACCCCTTGCGTACTTCTATAAGCCGAGAGCTTGTTTCGTATGGAATTTTACGTTAACCCAACGGCAGATGTAGCTAAGGTGTTCCATACTATGGCGACAAGTGTAGTCGAGGGGCAATGTATTAAAGGGATCGGTCTGTAGTGGGTTAGGGAATTGATGCCAGGTTCCTGTGTACGGTACATGTACCTTTAAGTGTGCTGTTCGTGATAAACAGCATATTCGCGTCCTTGACGATCGCTATCAGGCAGAGACTACGGCGGGAGGCTGATCAACTGGCGCTCTAGTGCACGCCGCACCCTTCGGCTCTAGGTCGAGGTCAGGTGCCCGCGTACTCGCCTGGGAATACATGATGGATTCCCCTGACCTTGGAACTAATAACGATGACTACTCGTGTCCCACAAAAAACATCCATTCGTCTTAATAGAAATGGATTTCTGTTGCTGTTGATTAGCCTGGCCTTGTGTATAGAATCATTAAAGCACGCGGTCTCTTCTAGTTTATCTATAAAATATTTAAACGATGCGGTGAAATGTGCGAGTTATTTTCGAGATATAGTAACATTTTACTGCAATAATTCAACAGTATTGTGTGAGAATTAAATGTTGGGGAAAATGTCGATATAGCAAAAATTATGTAATTTCAGGGGTACTTGGTGTATAAGGAAAACGCTATTTCATGAAAGTACTTCAAAATTTAAGATATTGCATAGAGCAGTGTCTTTAATGATAGGAAATTTCTGGTTTATATAAGACATATATGTGTAGCCAAAAACCTCGGCGAAACCTTCCATACATAGCCATTTGTATGCAATGTCTTAACCAAATCAACCCAATACATTTATCGCCAACCAGATAAACAAGTCTGGAGTGTCTGTGTAACCCACATCTCCATAAGTTCAAATTATTGTCATTTAGTGTAAATATCTACATAGAATCGTTCAAACACAAAGCTACATTAGTTATCTGCACGATCTCTCCAAAACACATACATTTAACTCAAGTTAACTTACTTATTCGCTTCCAAGGTAATTTTTTTTAATTTCATATAAATAGTCTTGATAAATTTGGATTTAGTAAGGCATTTAATTCAGTCATACTTGGCTTTTCATTTTCCTTGCAAATGGATTATTAACAACTAGCAAAAATACAAATATATCTTAAACATCTTTACAGATAAAAATTCTACAGATCCATGAACAGGTAATGTATTTACAATCATATCATCCATTGTATGCTTTCATCCCACAAACTACCGCAGTTCGTGTAGCTATTCCGCAGTTTAAACATTCCCCATGTTTAATTGGAATCGTCGCAATTTTTATCATTAAAGCTAACTAATGTCTGTATTTAATAGTATCGGACATAACTGTAAGTATACGTGTTCCTGTAGACTAATATGTGTAAGAAAGAACTAATTCTAATTTCTGCCTTTTTTATTTTAAGTCGGTACACCTATATTACAATAAACACAACCAAAGGCTTTTAAAACCGACACATAAATAACATATTTCAAAATAGCATGCATACATACAAAAAATATATGACGATACTGGTTTATTAAGATTAAAGCATAAAGGCATAGTATTATACTAAAAATGCTACAAACAATTCTATCAATATATACACACAATGCAACACAGACTGTAAAAGATGATGAAAATATGAAACACAAGACATAAATAAAGCTGGGTTAGATTAAAACAAATTCATAACTCAATTACTGTAAATTATATAAGCGAACATTTAAATTAAGCAAACATTAATAATTTTAAGCAACACGAATTTAAATAAGCAAAATAAATTGAAATCACGCAAAAGTAGATTAAATTCGGCAAAATTTATTACATAACAGCACTTAAACAGCAGGTGTTTCAAAATTAGGCTAAAAGCTCTAAAACAAACATATCTTATCATACAAAACGAAAGCAAGTAGATAGATAAAATTATATGCAAGCTGCACATCTGCAAGTCTTTCTATTTCACTGTCTGATCACCATTTTGAATTCATTAAAAGAAGTAATTTTGCGCATGTGGTCAGGTAGGGAATCCCAGACACTGTTCCATATCTCACGGTCTTGCTACTTGGTGGGTCTAAAATTCTAAAATATCTGAAAGTATAATTGGAAGGTTTTACAAGAATATAATCGTAAGATAGAATGGGGAAGATCCCTATAAAAAATTCTAAGTTCCGAAAGCAGAATGTCTGAGTATGTGATGAGTGTGTGAGGTTAAAATAGCAACACAGCAATGTGGATGTCAACATTATAAGAAGAGATGGCGGGACAATGTTTCGTTGGTGGTCGACATGTTTAACCCTTGCAGAGTTGGTGGACAGGTGGCGCATTGGTAACGAACTCGCCAATGATTAAAGTATCTACTTCGATAACAGGGAGTAAAGGGAGACAACTCTTGTAGATCGGCGTAACATGTCATAAAACTACCTATGAACGAGATAGTATGTTGCGATTTTCTCGTTCCTAACAATAAATAGGTCACCAATTCCCTACTTTTATTTATGCCTTAGAAATGAAATGTTAAAAAATAAATTACTGAAGAATTTTGAAGTAAGATACAAAGTTTTATTATACAGGTCGAGTAGAAGCAGCTTCCCAGTTAACCTCAAATTTTAGATGGGGACAATTGTTTCATATTCAGAAACATGTAATACTTAAATCAAAGACGGTCCGGTAGCAGTTTTAGGCATCTTATTTTCAGTTATTCCGAAAACCTTTAGTTCTTTCTGGTTTCAAACCGACTCGTGTGCAGAGAGAAGAACAAAAAGATTCAGGGACTGGTTCAACTTGAGGCGCAAGTGGTTTTTTTCCCCCATTTTTTTCGGGTATTATGCATTGACCGACTATTCAACATGGATCAGACAAAACGAAAGAAGTCTGCAATGTCTTAAGTACAGCATAAAAATGCCTCCCAAACCAAATTTTTAATTACATCTGATGATTCATGAAAATAGTCAAGCCCATTCTTTCCTAAGTTTACACAAGATAGTCAAACTTCATTATATGGTACTGAACATAATCTGGATGCAGGTTTCTTTGGTATTTAATCAACTCCTAAAGATCTTCATAGAAAAAGACTGCACCACTGACAGACAGTAGGACTTCATGTTGTTGATATAAAAATAAGATGTCATTGTGTAGGGTCAGAGAATTTGTGTTGATGGTAACGTTGTAAGTATAGGTCCCCATTGTTTATTGATTCCTTTTTATAATGTTGATATTATAATAAAATAGTGTACGGTACCACAGGGCTGCCAATATACCTAATCTTGTCTACCTAAAACAAATGTAATATCATTCAAGGGGAAAAATTCAAAATATTGTCAATATGGAGATCAGTGAGTAACCTTAAACATTTTGCAAAATACACAGAAAGTTACACTTTCCTTAAAATAGTGTATGGTACCACAGGATTGAACATTGTATTTTCATTGTGTATCAAAAAGACAAACACACGAATAGAAGAATTTATGTAATTTTATTATTTTTGCGGTTTTATTTTACCATTTCTTGCACTTACATGTTACTGATTTGTGTTATAAAACTATACAATAATAATAGTAATAATTGGCTAAGCTCTCCTTACAGATCTCTATGTATTAGTGGTGGGAACAATAATAAACCTTCCTTGGGTTATACAACTCCAAAGCAAAATACCATTGGCTGTATCTACAAGGTGGCTGCCACACCTAAAATCCGCAGATATTTCGGCAAAAACAAATAAGATTTCACCAAAAAATAACAACACTACATTGCATACAAAACTGTACATGCACACCCACACTCACACATACATTGTAGTTTATAAAACTCATTGGTAATACAGGGTAAATAACAGGCGCTATACACAGGATACAATGGAACTATACACTGTAGGCTACAACTAGTGTGGAAGGTATACACATTTCTCTATAATAACAATAATAAGGGGAGAAAAATCATTGCACTTTTATACTTCATTTCTGTGGAAGAAATGTTTTGATTCCTGAAAAAATAATAACATTCAAACAATGACAATAAAAGCAAACGTGGAGATATACAAATGATATGCAAATAGTGCTCATCAATCAATTCATTTTCTTGCATAATTAAAAACTTCCAAGCTAAAAATTTACAATCATGAAGTAATTTAAATATTCATGTCTTTTCTCTACTTTTGACCCAACACTTGACAGCACCATGTAAAGCTCACCATCACATTATTAGGAGCCACCTGTCCTCTGCTGATATATCTATGCACTGCAGTCCTTGATCTACCAAGAGTTATATACCCTTGTCAGCCCACGGTACCGAAATTCTATCTACCCAAAGTAAGCCTACAGTACCATAGTCCTATCTACCCACAGTAAGCCTACAGCATTGGAGTTATGTCTACCCACTGTCAGCCTTAGTACCACTGTCAGCCTTAGTACCAAAGTCCCATCTGCCCACCCGCTGTCAGCCCACAGTACTGTACTCCTACCTACCCACTGATAGCATTTAGTACCATAGTCCTTTCTACCCACTGTAATTGTACAGTGTCCTAGTTAGGTCTACCCAGAGTCAGTCTATAGTACTGTACTCCTTCCTACCCACCATCAGCCTAAAGAACTGTAGTCCTATACACCCACTGTGAGCCTACGGTACTGTAATCTTATATACCCACTGTGAGCCTACGGTACTGTAATCTTATATACCCACTGTGAGCCTACGGTACTGTAATCTTATATACCCACTGTGAGCCTACGGTACTGTAACCTTATATACCCACTGTGAGCCTACGGTACTGTAACCTTATATACCCACTGTGAGCCTACGGTACTGTAACCTTATATACCCACTGTGAGCCTACGGTACTGTAACCTTATATACCCAATGTCAGCCTACGGTACTGTAACCTTATATACCCACTGTGAGCCTACGGTACTGTAACCTTATATACCCACTGTGAGCCTACGGTACTGTAACCTTATATACCCACTGTGAGCCTACGGTACTGTAACCTTATATACCCACTGACAGCCTACATTAAAGTGACCCTTACCAAAACCTAGACAGCTACTTTTTAATTTTCCATTCACTACTGATTAAACATACTTTGAATTTAAGGATATGGATAATAGATTGGTCATCTTTGTGTTCTTTTATTCAATGTGACATTTTCTATTTTATCTAATAGTAGATTGTTTAAATCACATGAAGGAATATTTTGAACATGTTTGGAAAGTTGAAAATTTGATAGTGGAATGTGGACAAGGATACACAAATTGTATGAGGTCACACCCCCGGCCTACTGTAGACCCAGAACTATACAACAGCCAAATGTAGGACAGCTCTTGAAGTAAATTCTTAATTTCTTGAATGATAAGTAGTTTAGCACGAAAATTAAAATTAAGAATTTAACTTCGTTTAAACGCTAAAATGGACATAAACACCTCTTCTAATATCATCAAGACTTCTACGGGCAGGACATCAACCAAAACATTCAGCAAACAAACCAAAGGCACAAGCGACTTCGTCTCTTCCTCAAACATATCACAAGTCAATTAATCAATTATTAATTAACAATCAATTAAAAGGCAGTTCTTTGTGAATGAACTTGTCACTCAATACACTGCTGTTGTTCAGATTCACTAAAGCAGTATGTAGATGTAAAATTGTGATTAGTGTGTGTGTTTCCAAGTCTAATGGAATGTATTCTACAACTACTGTTACTTCCCCTTGCACCAAGTGCTAGATACCTGTCACATCACGATGTCAGGAATAGGAACACAAGATCTATATAATGCCTTGTGTTGCTGTGTGTAAGTTATCCTCGAAAAAAAAGAAAGAAAAAAAATCTTAAGGTATATATACCATTTTAAATCATAACTAGAAATGACTTACGATACTTCCAACAGTTTTTCAATCATTATGTTTTTGAAAGACCTTCAAGCTTTACTATACAAAATAACAGTAACAAATCATCACTTTAAATTTCATAATACTGACTCAATATCACCATAACATTTAAGTAAAATGAAGGATTCAAAAGTTTAAAAAAAATTTGAAAAAGTAAAATATTAAAACAACCTCTCTCAATATTCTCAGATCAAAACTGATTCTAAAATTACAGAAAATAGCAAGATTACTCCGAAGACAATTTTCTTCATATGATATCAATTGGCTTAGCTGATCAATCCTCGTAGCATTGATCTTACAGTTAACTTTCAATTAAATCTTTCCTATTTTGTTCCTCACACTATTTTCTTTCTAAACATAGTTTTCAAGTACTGTGAAAATAAAATCTAAAATCATCATAAGGAAGTATGGATAACTTAACTAATGACCACAGCTTTGCTTTCTTCAACAGCAGTGTGTATCATATTTCATATTGCATAATTATAGTTACTTCATTTCTTCTTCTCTACAGTATACAACATAAAATGAATCACATTGTGTTGGGGACTTTGTGAATCGCCCTTAAATAAATGGAATTGTTCACATGTACAATTCAAACATTTTTAAATGCAAGCAATCCTGACATTGGATCACTTTAACGAAAGTTATGAGAAAAATTATGGGAGACAAAAATAACATGGTCTTTGTTCGTCATGAGACATGCATCAAAATTTGAAGGATTAATAGTAATTAACATGTCAAGTGGGATAACCAAACACCTTTTCTCCCTCTCACATCAGGTATCACAAGTAGATCTCCAGTAGAAACACCTTACATTCTCTCTCCCTCTCACATCAGGTATCACAAGTAGATCTCCAGTAGAAACACCTTACATTCTCTCTCCCTCTCACATCAGGTATTCACAAGTAGATCTCCAGTACAAACACCTTACATTCTCTCTCCCTCTCACATCAGGTATCACAAGTAGATCTCCAGTAGAAAGACCTTACATTCTCCCTCCCTCTCACATCAGGTATTCACAAGTAGATCTCCAGTAGAAACACCTTACATTCTCTCTCCCTCTCACATCAGGTATCACAGGTAGATCTCCAGTAGAAACACCCAAACATTCTCTCTCCCTCTCACATCAGGTATCACAAGTAGATCTCCAGTAGAAACACCCAAACATTCTCTCTCCCTCTCACATCAGGTATTCACAAGTAGATCTCCAGTAGAAACACCCAAACATTCTCTCTCCCTCTCACATCAGGTATCACAAGTAGATCTCCAGTAGAAACACCTTACATTCTCCCTCCCTCTCCCATCAGATGTTGTCACTAGTCCTCCAGCAAAATCATCCAAACAGTCACCCTGTCTCTCACAGCTGGTGTTCACCACTGGATCCTTTTACCTATACAAGTCACCGTACACGAGGAGTTACTGTGAGAGAATTGTGACACTTTCATGGGCAATGTTATTTGGGACAATCAGTTGTGAATGACTACACCTAAAAAAATTGTAACATCTTGCAAAATGTTTTCTAAATTAGCATGTAATTATATCTGTCCAAATAGACTGATTTTGGCCTGTGTTCTACTTCTACTATCAATGAAAGAGTCAAAAAATATAAGTCAATACTGGCAGGTTACATGGAGTGTCCATCTTAACCAAGTTACGCTGGATGGAGACTTCCATATTTTGGCAGTATATATATATATAAGTCATGATATGAACTTGTAATACAGATTCCAATAAGTGACACACAAACCATGTTTGGTATTGAGACTACATGTTCTCTACATTTATACAACATATACTCTATGTTTGTTTCTATAGCAACACGTCTATGTCCTGAAAAACTTGTTGAACTTCTTAATTCTTTTACCAGCCCTGTGGTAAAGAGGTCAGGTGCCAAATACATTCAAATATAATTTTCCTTTTACAAATAAAATCAAGTAAAATGAAAACTGCCTGTCATACCATGCTTACCTCAAGGATTTGATACTTGAACCATCAGAATGAATGAACTCTGTAAATAACTAAATCTAATTTAAAGTAATGTGGAAATAGTGGCCTTCGGCAAGAAAAGCGATCACAGCACTGACATCAATAACATGGCTATCACATATACTTCACTGTACACTGAAAATAGTGTGTAATAGATAGGGGCCTCTCACTGTAACTCCTGGTGTGCGGTCACCTCACTCACCTATATCTCACTGAAGTTTATTGATCAATTAAAACAGAAAAACAAAGGTTTTTTTTGGCAAATTCACTTATCAACAATAGCTGATTACTATGTACAAAACATTTACATATATGCAAGACTCCATTACAGATGCTACATTAATATACAACTGTACATGATTAAGGCTGAATTGCTATTAACATGGTTTCGTGTTTTAAATACATCTATATGTACAAGCTAGTGTGACGGACTAAAGCCATATGATCTATACAATATCCAAACAGGATTTGTCGTACGGTATATATTTATATATATATAAAGCATCATGTGTTTAAAATCTTCTGGAAACACAGGCTAAGCACTAAGAGTCACACTCTTTATAACAGCCAACAAATTTGGATTGGAGATTTTGTTTAAAGAGTAGTTTTAAGATATCATGCATTGATAAGTTGCTAACCTATCCTTTAACAGTCAGGGTTAAAGAAGATTTCAACCATTCGCCCTATCTTTACTTATTGTAAATGGAAAATATACGACAGTCGCAATTTATTGTCAAGCTATTTTTCTTCTTAATAGATTTGTTAATGATCACTGTTAATCCCTTTTCTACCAATGCATGGAAATCTTAAATGAACAATGAAACCACAACTTTTTAGCCTCCCTACATTGGAGATATGTAAAGTATCTGTAGCTTGAAGAAGTAAAGGTAACAAATTCTAAACTGTGAAATAGTGAACCTACAACTGGGAGTGAATTAGGACATTAGTCTGTATTGTCTATTACTAATGAATGAAAAAAAAATACTACTACAGCACCGGTATGGCATGTTGTGTTGGTATAATGAAAGACTGTTCCATCATGTCACACCTAATCTAAACACTTAGATTATCCCTAAAGCTATGAGTCGTTGTTTCGGAATTAATTTTCTGGTTGATAGAAGTACATTCGACGGAGTCAGTTCTCTGATTCTTTGAGAAAAATACAATGTTAATCCGTAAAGATACAGGTACTTGCTCTTATAACAGCTATTTAGTAAACGATTATATTTTTCATTAGGTTATGTAATATGTAATAGATATGTAAACAAACTTGTACTAGTCATATGAAGAATTCCTCCAATGACACAAAGAGATTTCAGTGTTATCTATGCCCAAGTTAAGATGAAAGGACTCATGTACAACAGCTTGTTGGATTAAATGACAAATATATTTTATAGAATATCTTCAACAGATAAGAAGTCCTTATTGAATATGTGTGTTTGTAAACCTATTTAAATGATTTTGTCTGAAATTCATGCTTTCCATATCTTGACCACTGACATGCTATGGATATTAAAGGGTGGTCATGTTTTGACACCAATGAAATGACAATCACATAAGGGCATTGATGATACAAACTGACAGTGTCACACCACATACAGAATACAAACCTCCTACAAGATATTCAAATAAGAATGAGACAGGTTCATCTGTAATGGTGGCAATATGTTGGCTAATTAAACTGTGTACAACAACCAAAAGTAACACTCGAGATCACTCCTTACAAAGGGTAACACTAGATAATCACTCCTTACAAAGGGTAACACTAGATAATCACTCCTTACAAAGGGTAACACTAGATAATCACTCCTTACAAAGGGTAACACTAGATAATCACTCATTGAAAAGGAATTTGCAGTGTAAATTTAAAGCCATCCAATTATGATAGTCTATATAAGTACATCAAAAGTTTATATGGATTCTTAACGAATATGGTTTAGGAATTCAAAAAAGTCCATGATAAATATTGTTATCAGGTAAAACAAATATTTCAGTTTTCAACATCGTGAAATATTTTTCCATACATACTTCTGTTAAATTTTGGGAGTTTAGGTTTATCAACGTATTAAAGACAAACTGGCTGACTCCAATGTATAATAGATACAAAATTTCTTTGAGTTTTAGACATAGTGTTCCTGCTATAGGTAATTATAGTAGTAGTAAATATATATACGGGAATAATACCGAGAAGGTTAATTATCAGCAGTAAGCAAGCATCCCATTGCTTTATTTTGTAGACATAAAAATGCTGCAATTCTTGTTCCCTGACCGGGCTGGATGTTGTATTTGATATGACAGCAGTGGTATACATCACCACAGACTAGCCAACAAGTTGTGTCCAGATGAATATACACCTAGTTGAGACGGCTCTGTACAGCTGACACTTGGGACTGGAGACCACACATTACTTAAAGCAAGTCACCACCGTCATGGTGATATAACCACCAGGGCTGCAATGGGATGCACTGGTGTGCTCATCCTTGTGTTGCATTCTGGCCGATCAGAGACGAGTAGAGTCAACCTCCTGGTCATTGTCACCAGGGTCACGGTCCTCAGATATGCTGCCGCTGGTGGAGTGTGGGGGACTACTGAAGTTACTGTTGGTGGAGGCCAGGGACAGGCGCATACGTGGCTGTTCAAACCCTTCCCCATCCTGCAACACAATCAGGGCTTACTTAAGTACACAAGCACCTAATGTCAACAGATAACATCATAATTCTACAATAACTTTATATCAGAAATGGAAATCTTTAATGAATAGATCTTTTTTTTTAACCCACAGATATTGCAAGATCAATTTCAAATTGACATCATGTCAACGTCTTTTATAATTACGGTTTGGCATTCTACAAGGTATACTTATAAAACTATGATGTAGATATTGTAGCAATGAAAAACAGTTAATAAAAGTTCAATTGTTTCCTTCTTTTTATCAAAATAACTTATCTCTAAATATTTGAAAATTATATCATGTAATGTATTAATCAGTGGAATTGATGAGCAAGTCATTTATTTGCTTGTCTTCAGTAAATGATCATTTCAATTGGTGTCCAAATGCATAGGAACTGAGTGATTTTTTTACATAGAATTAACATCATGCATTCATGATATAATTATGCTAATCATTTGTTATAAAATATAACACCATTACAAATATGTATACAAAACATTAATTTTTTTTTTTACATTTTCATTTAAGTACATAAGATTTAACATGTCAACTTCAATTCAATATACAAGACTCATTTCAAGACTTGTGTAATGTTTTTTTAACATGTAAAGCTAAGATGCCAACATTATAGTAGGTAAGGAACTATTAATAGCATCAGGAATTTTGGTTTGATTTCTTCAGTACAGAAAGTATCAGTAATCATTTTATTAACATGTAAATAAATTTCATTTTACAACAACGATAAGACAAGTCCCATCCAATTTCATCAAAGTTCAGGTACTAAAAAGACATATTTAAAATTTTCTCTTATCCATTTGGGCTTGAAAACAGTACAAATATACAACTAGTTAGGAACTTCAACAGCAATTAATCTAAAGAATTTTACTCAGGTGTTCAATTTTATAAATTTTCTATTTCATAGTAGGAAATGGAATCAAGCAAACAGCACATTAAGGGGAAAAAAGTATGTCCTTACTTTACCATTACTCAAATCCAAGATGAAACCCATTGAAATGGAAGTAGAAAATTCAAAAATATAACTTTAATGTTTGGAAAATAAAAAAAAAAAAATATTTGAAGCACACAGTCTGTAAATTGTTATGTGATCATGACTGCAGAAGTAAACAAAATGTCTCAAGTGCATAAAGCTTGAAAGTGATGTCAATAACACACTGTGTACAAAGACACCAAGTAATGCTTATCATCAAGCAAAATTTTGTTAATAGATTGAAATAAAAGCAGTACAACTACTGCTGAGTCACTGACCAACAGTAACAGTACTTACACTGACCTAGGCATCAGCAAATTTTAGCCTAGCGATATCATTTACCTGACCATGCTTAGCAATCCTTAAGCTTGACAACGGTTTAATCCCTATCAAATGACTTATACCTTCTTGTAGCAGTGCCATACATACTGTAAAGTACTAAATACACTTAAAGATTTGTTTTAAAAGGTATACAGCATTTTAAAACTTTTTATTGAGAAAAGTATCCTCATCAATAGTTTTATCCACTACAAGTCTGCTAAACAAAAACTGCTTGGCAAGCTGATATGTTGACTGTCTTATTTCTTTCCATAAGTATGATCTGCAGTCATTTTTCAGCAACTTTCCTCTGTCTTAAATATTTTAATTGAATGTGATTGATCTCAGTGTGAAGACAGTCTCCTATATGTTTGAATTGAATATGATTAATCTTAGTAATATGTTAGGCCTTGACCCCATCAAAATACAAAGCCATTATTGAAAATCTTGTCCATTTCTCGTTACTTTGAATTACATATATTCACAATGTACCAAACTATTTACACAATGCCCACTGCCATGAGAAAAAAAAAAAAATTTCGCAAATAGTTGACGAGGACATTGTTATTATAACAAAGCTAATGACAAGATATTAATCACAAATTGCTAAAGAAAAGACGAATTACAAAGCTAATACATTTAAAGCCTAAACAGAAAATTATATTCCATAGCAATATTGATCAAGTTGGTATGGTAAACAACTTACTATCCTTTACATATGTATGGATGTAAAAACATTACATCTCATGTCATCAGGTCTGTATAGTACTAAATACACTACAGATCATGTCTGTATAGTACTAAATACACTACAGATCATCACGTCTGTACTAAATACACTACAGATCATATCTAAATACACTACAGATCATCACGTCTGTATAGTACTAAATACACTACAGATCATCACGTCTGTATAGTACTAAATACACTACAGATCATCCATCACATCTGTATAGTACTAAATACACTACAGATCATCACGTCTGTATAGTACTAAATACACTACAGATCATCACGTCTGTATAGTACTAAATACACTACAGATCATCACGTCTGTATAGTACTAAATACACTACAGATCATCACGTCTGTATAGTACTAAATACACTACAGATCATCCATCACGTCTGTATAGTACTAAATACACTACAGATCATCACGTCTGTATAGTACTAAATACACTACAGATCATCCATCACGTCTGTATAGTACTAAATACACTACAGATCATCACGTCTGTATAGTACTAAATACACTACAGATCATCACGTCTGTATAGTACTTAATACACTACAGATCATGTATAGTACTAAATACGTCTGTATAGTACTAAATACACTACAGATCATCACGTCTGTATAGTACTAAATACACTACAGATCATCACGTCTGTATAGTACTTAACACACTACAGGTCATCCATCACGTCTGTATAGTACTAAATACACTACAGATCATCACGTCTGTATAGTACTAAATACACTACAGATCATCCATCACGTCTGTATAGTACTAAACACACTACAGATCATCATGTCTGTATAGTACTAAATACACTACAGATCATCACGTCTGTATAGTACTAAATACAATACAGATCATACATCACGTCTGTATAGTACTAAATACACTACAGATCATCACGTCTGTATAGTACTAAATACAATACAGATCATCCATCACGTCTGTATAGTACTAAATACACTACAGATCATCCATCACATCTGTATAGTACTAAATACACTACAGATCATCACGTCTGTATAGTACTAAATACACTACAGATCATCCATCACGTCTGTATAGTACTAAATACACTACAGATCATCATGTCTGTAGAGTACTAAATACACTACAGATCATCCATCACGTCTGTATAGTACTAAATACACTACAGATCATCCATCACGTCTGTATAGTACTAAATACACTACAGATCATCCATCACATCTGTATAGTACTAAATACACTACAGATCATCACGTCTGTATAGTACTAAATACACTACAGATCATCACGTCTGTATAGTACTAAATACAATACAGATCATCCATCACGTCTGTATAGTACTAAATACACTACAGATCATCCATCACATCTGTAAAGTACTAAATACACTACAGATCATCACGTCTGTATAGTACTAAATACACTACAGATCATCACGTCTGTATAGTACTTAATACACTACAGATCATCAATCCCGTCTGTAAAGTACTAAATACACTACAGATCATCACGTCTGTATAGTACTAAATACACTACAAATCATGTCTGTATAGTACTAAATACACTACAGATCATCACGTCTGTATAGTACTAAATACACTACAGATCATCACATCTGTATAGTACTAAATACACTACAGATCATCACGTCTGTATAGTACTAAATACAATACAGATCATCCATCACGTCTGTATAGTACTAAATACACTACAGATCATCACGTCTGTATAGTACTAAATACAATACAGATCATCCATCACGTCTGTATAGTACTAAATACACTACAGATCATCCATCACATCTGTATAGTACTAAATACACTACAGATCATCAGGTCTGTATAGTACTAAATACACTACAGATCATCACGTCTCTATAGTACTAAATACACTACAGATCATCACGTCTGTATAGTACTAAATACAATACAGATCATCCATCACGTCTGTATAGTACTAAATACACTACAGATCATCACGTCTGTATAGTACTTAACACACTACAGGTCATCCATCACGTCTGTATAGTACTAAATACACTACAGATCATCACGTTTGTATAGTACTAAATACACTACAGATCATCCATCACGTCTGTATAGTACTAAACACACTACAGATCATCACGTCTGTATAGTACTAAATACACTACAGATCATCCATCACATCTGTCAATACACTGTATGCCACATGTATTTTAGTACTTGATTCAGTAGAACTGCACTCTAAATTTGTCTAAATTTATCAATCAAGCACTCCACCTTAACTTTCAGACTACATTTAAATGCCATCCATTTCTACACTAATAACCTAACCGCTAGTCTATGCATCACTGTTACATTATTCTGTCATACTAAAATTCTATACAATGTTAGCCCTTTTGTTTATCCCTATTTCCAAAGACATGTTTTTCCAATGCTATTTCTGATTGTACTCATAAAGACTTAAAATTTGTTTGAGATCATTGAACATCCTGGCATTTTGGCAGCCACATATTTTTACTATGACTTGATATTTTTCCTGAACGTCTTGCATGGCACCTGAAGCAAAAAATACTTACGCTTGAACTTTCAGTGTATAGCAGTTGATTGATCGATGTCATTCCCCACCCCCCTTCCCTCCCTCCTTTTTCTCTAACATACACTGTAAATATATCAATCCCCACCCCCTTCCCTCCCTCCTTTTCCTCTAACATACACTGTAAACATATGAATCCCCACCCCCCTTCCCTCCCTCCTTTTTCTCTAACATACCCTGTAAACATATCAATCCCCACCCCCTTCCCTCCCTCCTTTTTCTCTAACATACACTGTAAACATATGAATCCCCACCCCCTTCCCTCCCTCCTTTTTCTCTAACATACCCTGTAAACATATGAATCCCCACATACCCCTTCCCTCCCTCCCTCCTTTTTCTCTAACATACCCTGTAAACATATGAATCCCCACCCCCTTCCCTCCCTCCTTTTTCTCTAACATACACTGTAAACATATGAATCCCCACCCCCCTTCCCTCCCTCCTTTTTCTCTAACATACACTGTAAACATATTCATGCAGTATTTCTATAAATGTTTATAAATTGGAATAAATCTGTATATTCTACATCTGTAATCCATACATCAACACAACAACAATATAATGGCTAACACTAATGCAGACAGTACTAAACATCTCATTTTTGTCGAATTTTTCTCCAGAACTTACAGATCTTTGACCAAGCTTGCCAAGCTTTCAAATTGACCTTCAGATTAATCTATCATGCTGAAATGAGATTGCCAGTAAGCTTGCTGCATAGAATTGCCACATTGTCTAGTTACTTCATTCCCAATGAACAACTTCAATTATACTACCTGTGCTATGTCTTGGATCCGTCAAAATTCGAAATCCTAATGGGACAGAATTAAAAGATGTCTATTTGGATTCAGAATGTATTGTATGTACAGTATATGTATATTGATTTGTCTGTTTATAACTCAACAGAAAACAAACATGCAACAACACTGAGAGATGGTAAACTTGTCCACCTGCCAGTCAACAGACTAGCTAGGTAGGGGAGATAACTGTGAAGGGACATGCCAAGAGGGAGTGACTCACACCCAAGAGGGCAATGGCCTTCATTCATGCAATGCTGTAGTGTAAACAACAGGTCACTTTTGGTGAGAATGACTTCAACATTACAAATGAAAATTGAGAAAAAAAAGTAATCCCCTTTCATGAAAATTTCCTGTTAGTGGACTTATTTCTAATGTTACACTAACATTATAAATTAGTATTGGTTATGAAAATATTGGAATTTGTTAAGAATTAAAAAAAAAAAAAACAGTATCAAATTACAACCTCAAAATAATGAGATTGAATAATTCAAACGAGAAATAATCAATTGTCAGCCATTCCCACCAGAACATCAACAGAACAAAAGAAGATGTGACTGAAAAGCAGGGGGTAGGGTAAAGAATGTTAGCTCAAGGTGTGCACAATATATATAAATATGGAAGAAAAAAGTGGAGAAACCTCAGCTACATAATCTGTGTGCTCATTTGTTCAGTAGTTTTGCCATGTGCTTTCATATGTATGATTGGAAACACTGCCACTAACAGACTCGCGTGACCCAGGGGGACCTTTATATACCTGAAGGGAAGCAAAATGGATTATGTAATAGTACACCATTAGTAACGCCAGCCAATCAAGTCACACATGAAGAGAACTTTGATGGTTGAAGATTATAAATAATACAGTACATACACCTTCAGTGCATACAATGGATATAACACACAGTGTGTGCAGACATAGAAAAATATCTACTTCACAAGGTCCTCTTTTTACTTGTAGTACATCTGCCTACTATACTTTGAGCAAACTTGGTAGAGTCTAGGCATCATGACTTGCATATAAGTTCAAAACCAATCTTCTCTTACATTTTCCAGTTCAGTCATTGTTCAGATTTTGAATAAGTGAATTTCTCCTTATGTTCCAGTTAAACTTAATGAAAGTAGACTGAAACATCAGGTTCTACATATTGTTATGTCTTTCAAAAAATATATTTTGCTGAAAAATACATGCAAGTCATCTGTAACGCCTAAAATTTCGACTCTTTGTAAAGTACAGAACAGTGTGTTTGTTCCCAGTATAGTAAAATACAGTCATCCACAAGCTAACAACTGCAAGGACTTTGTAAATGATGTAATATATAGACAAATACAGATCATACAATGTGGAAAACAGAAACCTTTGAGTGACAGTACATAACAGAAAGGGCTTCATCACATGTGTAACAGGGAGGATATAGAATATAGAAATAATTACCAATTCACCATAATTATATGCTCTACTATTGTGTCAGATTAAAAAGAGAAACAGAAGAGTGTATTGTGATACCTAATCCAATATTTCTTCAACAATTATATAATTGCTTTCCGCCATAACCATTTGTAAACATAACATATTACATAAAATTTACAGTCAATGATAATTACAACTGATTGTCCTTTTTCTACCGAAGCATAAAAATCGGAGTAATTATTAATGCGCCTCTAGAAATGCATTATTACACTGCAAAATATTCCTAAGAAAAAGCCATCCTAATTACTGTCCTAAGAAGCCCTATATGTGAGGCTAGCTAGGTACTTGCAGCAGTGCTTACTTCAAACATGTTGCTGGTGACGTCAGCAAAGGCAGACTGGTCATGGGAGGACAACTCGGGACTATCAGAGATGGAGGAGGTGGAAGACATAGGGCGTGCCCCACCTCCAACTTTGGATGGCGATTCACGCCTTGCACTTCCTGTTAAAATAAAAAACACTTCTACTTTTGCTGAAAACGCAAAAAAAAATTTCAACTTCAAACAGAAGTAAATGAGGAACAATTTTGCAATATTTTTTTCCAATATTACTTTCTGCATTGCAATAAAATTAAAAGATCAAGATCAATAAAAACAAACTGGTTTCATAAAGTTTTGCCTAAATATCAATTCAACTTTTACACAAAAGGACTGGTATTGTCATAAACAATAATCAATAGATAAGATTAACTTCCTGAATCATTATTAGCCTTAGATTAACTTATGATTTTCCTAACATCAAGAAACAAAATCTTACACATGTAAAATCTCACACATGTACAGGTAAGCTCTAATGGCTTCTTCTGATGACAACATAGTATAAGATTATATCAATTAGCCCAGTGGTTAGTTTTTATCAGCTTATTAATTATCAAAATTTGCCTTTATCTAATAGCAATATTAGGATTTTATGCTTATTATCCTCACCGTTTGACCTACCGTTGTGTTGTGACCGGGAGCCTCTCATCTGCGCTTCCTGTACAGACTTCATACTGGGATGGAAGATGTTCCGAACCCTTTGTATGGTAGAGTCGGGTGGCGTTCTCTCTGCAGACGGAGTGCTAGCTGATCCAGCCGGCTAGTAAATATAAAGAGTAATTCTAACAGTTTAAACTGTGATTGATACACAAACCTTTTATCAAGTTTGTTGTCCATATCCATCTTAATATTAATGTTTTTTCATATGCATATCATATGTAACTGAGGCACTAATGGAAGTGAAACCATGAAATTAGACTGAAAAACTGAAACATTTGTTATAATAGTTTGTACCTTTCGTTGTTAACCATCTTTGTGATTTGGGTAAAAAAAAAAAATAGAGAAAACAGGTCTAAAACATATAAATGCTCCATCTTCCACTTTGGTAATGAACTTGAATAAATGTAGAGAGTAAACATAATCCAATAAATGGTATACAGGTCAAACTGACTTGTTTCTCAGTGTGCTCAGGTACATCTAATGGAGAATTTATGCAAAATAACATTTAATAACCAAAGCATGAAGCTTATCACAAAATCTGAGATATACAGTCAAACCTCGTTAACTCGAAGTCGATGGGACCACGAAAATACTTCGAGTTATCCGAGTCTTCGAGATAGCCGAGTTCATGAGTTTTGGTGCAAAGATTTTTAATGTTCCTGACGTTCCTTGTACTTTTTGTCACTTTTTGGCTATATACGAGCTTGATGTAGATTCCGGTAATAAGCAAACATATTTTGTTCTTGATCGTTGAAAAACCAGAATTGATAATTAAATTAGGTGCAGTTTGCTTATTATTTAGAAACCATCAATTTCGTTCTGTCAGTCCTTTTTAATTAACGAGAACTAGATTAGCCCCTGCTTTTATCCCTATGTGACACTCATGACATCTCCTCACTAATTCTGCCCTAAGTACTTCGACGCTAATTAAATAATTGTTTCACTCATTTGTCGGTTTAATTGAGCACAGGTGACCGTTTCATGCGTACTCCTGTAAAAACATTAAGCCTAGTACCGGGCCAGTGTTGTGATTGTTTTCTATAGCTTAGTTCCGCTTCACTGAGTGTATACACAGGTCGGTGTTTGTTATGGCTGACAGACACGGAAATTACGCAATGTGAGTAGAACTTCACTTTTTATCGCCGATATCTATCAATTATAAGATCTAACGGTTACCTTTTATCATTCAATTAAATAACAATAAACACTTTTCTAAAACATGAATATTGTTAATTACAGTATTGTTCATTAATATTCACTTGTAAAGCCTATTGTCGGTAAAATTGCAAAACGGCGTAGCGCATCAGCAATGTAATTGACCGGCACAAAATTTATACTTCGAGTTTTCCGATCATATTCAGTATATGTTTTGTTGTTGGGACCAAATTTTTACTTCGAATTAACAGAGTTTTTCGAGTTTTCCGAATTCGAGTTTTCCGAGTTTTGATTACTAGAATAAAGAGAAGATTTTGCCGGGACCGACAAAGTGCTTCGAGTTAAACGGGGTCTTCAAGTTTTCCGAGTTCGAGTTAACGAAGTTCGACTGTATTTGAAGGGTTCACTAAACATTCTACACAGACAAGTTCACACTACATCACTGTTTTTGTTACTAGTATATCATCCATTGTTTATGTGCAGAACTTTAAAATCAATCAAAAATACTTACCTTGGGAAGATCAATGAGTGATTTCATGTCCATGTTCGTACCCATATGAGCCACATGGGTGAAGTTTGTTGGACCAGAGATAATTCGGGATTTACGCTCAGACCTGAAAAGTAACACAATAAACTGATTTTAAGAGCCTGCATTAAAAAAATAAAACATATATAGCTAACAAATATGGAACCACTTAAAACTTTTGCTACTGTTACTGCATGTATCTACAATATTTTGCTTTTATTAAAAAGTTAGATCACATTTTAAAAGTTGATGATATAAGGTATTTTTTGTTGTATGAAGAGCATTATAGTATTTAACTACACTGATTATTAATAATTTTCAACTTTTTCATCGAATAAGACTAAATGATAAAATACAATTTCCGTATATACAAGTACACAAACAAAGCTGAAGCTCTGTAAATGGAGGCTTATATCTAGATCTTGCGGACACATTATGTAGTGTGATATGGTATCTGTTTATTTTGTGTTTTCAAACAACATGGTATTCATAACTGAGAAAGTAGGTCAAGAAATAACAAAGACCCTAGTCAGCATCAGCCTCATTCTAAAAAATGTGTTTTTTATATTTTTGGAGACGGTGACCTTGACCTTAAGAATATTGTAAACATTATCTTCCTTCTGGATGAAAACAATGTATCAGCAGGTAATCTCAAGAGATTAGATAGATGGACAGTAATATTGTTGTGAAGCATTCATATCTCTAATAAGGGCCAAAATATATCCTAATCTAATATGATATAGTGTTTGTTATCAATATTATGATATAACATCAAAACTGAAGGGTTCAGATTTCAAGAGAAATTGTGCTGTGCAAGAGATCACATGACATACATAAGTGTTTACTTCATAAGTGCAATCTGTGCACAAGACTTTTCCATCAAGTAAAAGGCAAGCAGACCTAATTGTGGGATGCTCTTAAAATGTTTTCTTAGCTGTACTAATGATTTTTCTATATCACATTTATTTCTCGATTGAAAATTTGATCAATACTTCTGATTTGTTGAATAGTACTTTTGATATATACTGTTGTTATTTTCATCAACAATTTTCATATAAAATTCTGGAACAGTTGTAGTTCACATATAAATACTTCTTAAATGCTACATATCTTCCTCTGTATATATCAGGAATTCACTTTTTTCCATCTTTGTAACACATGTATTTCAAAGTATCACTTTTAGCATAAAGAGTAAAGTTTACACCTGCAAGCAATGACTGGCATCAAATGTTGTCCATTAGTTAACTAAATGTATCAACCAACACCACAGCTCCACTAAACCCCATACATGATTTGTTATGTAATTTACTATATAGAGATCAAACAATAATAGAGCCATCTCAATTATGAAAGTAAATGAATGATGTATGGAAAAGCTGTAAGAAATATGAAATGTGTCCTTCTGGAACAAAATGTTGACGACTTTGTACAAAAGTTCACTGGTAAAATAAACAACTTAGAACGAGACATCGCCCGTCACCATAGAGCCACATGTAACCACATGCACCAAGATAACACATAGCAGGAATCAGGCTTATAATATACAAGCATTTAGTCAAACTGTATGTAAGTGTTATGTGAGAAAAACTCAAGTTTTTTAATTAGCCGTAATTAACATTAACCTCTCTGGAACAAACATTTTATTCCTATTGAACTGTTAACGGCATGCAATTGGTTTGAGATAAAAAGCAACATGCACAGCTGCAGTGGTAGATCTGTGAGCATATACTGGGTATAGACATGGTTTATACATTCCAAGGAAGATTACATAGGAAGCAGTCATGCATGCACTAAGCCACTACACAGTACAATAATACTTAAGACAGCTTACTGGCCGTGGGTTACTGTAACTGGTATTGGTATGCTTGAAGGAAAGACCTGATCTGGACCCATGTGGGCTACATGGCTGAATGATATTGGTGCAGAAATTTCACGAGATCGCCGCTCGGGCCTGTAGTCAACACAAAATAGCAACTGTCTTGTAACTAGGTCAATATTCTACAGTTGTAATGGGAACCTGTCTCTTAAATGCTCTGACCTGAGTCAGAATACCACTATTAACAGACATGGGGTCAATCTAAGTCTCAAGGAAACAGTTTCAATCTAGGGGAATATTTTATCCAATAAGTTTTGTGAGTACAAAGTAGGATTTTTTTTTCTGAATTACAAAGAATTTTTTATGTATGATTGCCAATAAAAAATGACAGAAAGAATCCACCTGTATGATAAGAAACTTTGTTACTAACTGGTTTCAATAATTCCTTGTTTGAAGTATTTTGTATTCATCCTCTTTTCAGATTCATATCTAAATAAGGGTATTTTTTAATTAAATAAAGCGAAAAACACTTTTTACTTGCATCAAAATATCCTTGATTGAACCCAACCAAGTCCTGTGAAGGGTATCGTTTTGCCTGATAACTTCAGATCATAACTTTTAAAGAATTTCATCACAATAAAAGAATCTAGAACGTAAAGTAGAAAACCCATGTAGACAGCTCCATGCCAATAACACTAAACCATGTGTTTTTGTTTCTGCACTGTATACTGGTCAGATTTAGTAAAAAGATAGGCATACCATGAGTCAGAAGTGATATTGTTACATGATGGGTATGTTGTATATTATTTCTGTACATGTTGTATACAAACTGCCAATCCTACAATAACAGAACTAGGACCTGCATCTGCTTGTCAATGTGAAGTCATTTATAAAATATGATAATACAGACAGCAACAGAAGATTTTCATGTGTGCAAGAGACATTCACAAAAGCAAGTTCTGAAGCTTTCAGAGCAAATGTCATGCTATTTGTACTTTTAATACAATTTTATCACTACATAGATACCCAAAAAAATTTAAGAATATAGAGCAGTATTGACAAGCTGATGCTAAGACTTTACGTCTGTGCAACCAAGTTGTACACTTCCCGCTACTTTTTTGCATCTATCAGTAAATTTATGTGACAAACTTAAAATTGATGACATTAGCAGAGTTATTAAAGAAGACTGATTCTACACTTGATCGAAGTACTTATTGTTGTGTACATTAATTCTTTTAATATTACAGTCAGTCTATATGTTGTAAGATATATGTAGTAATGATAAGCAAATAAATATAAGAAACATGCTGCACAGAAATTGTATAAAAAGTCATTAATCATGGTAGGTCAAATTTGCTGCCATATTACAACAGAACAAAAACTTGAAACATTCAGTTAGCCAAAAATAGCACTGAACATAAATAATTCACAACAGACGGCAAAAGCTGTGAACTCCGGACATCATGATATATCAACCCAAAGCATTCCTTGGTAAAATCATTCCAACTCTCAAAATAAGTTTCATTTCATAACTGTTACTTGATCAACAAACCGTCTAACATTCAACTAAATAGAACACGACATAGTGCATGCATAGCATTCCGTCTCACCCCTTGGAGCCTCGGTCATGATCCTCTCTGGTTCTGAAAGAGTATTTTCTTTTATTCCTGTTGACAGTCCTGTTCTTAAAGATTTCTTTAATGGCAAGCCTTTCTTCTTCTGTAAATCAATGTCATTAAATCTTTCATATTTGATTATAACACAAAACAAAATCATCCTGTACAAAAAAACATATATATTCGATCATCAACATTCTTAGAAGATAATGCACAGAATCAAGGGCTCTTGATTTGCCTAATTTGGGGCCGATATTCAGTCCCATTCCCAATGCAAAATAGTATCTTTTTTTCCCAATTTAGACCCCAAGTTCTCCCAATTCTAAGGAAAACACCATTATTTTTCCCAATTCTAAGGGCCCCGGGCCCCAGTCCCAAAATGGGGTGTGAGGGCCCTGGAATCACATGGTTTCATTGACTGAGGGATTCTGTTATCCCTTTGGTTAATTTCAATCCTAATGTATATACTTAGTCTGATTTAATATAAAAAAAAAGTTATTAGGATTGCTCTTCTACAATGTGTAATTCTCAGTACCCTGATGGACATTCTTGAAGTGGATGATGTGTTGAGAGTCCATCATATTCATCAAGTTCAGCGAGCCATCCTTGTTCAGTGGCTTCGTCTGAAACAATAAAATGAAACAGTTTCATATATAAAGTAAATAATTATCAATAACCTTCCATGCATCAAATAATTATGATATAGCATAACTCCTTAATATAAACTTGATTACAAAGAAGGTATTTTATAAACATCAACATTTTGGTTGACAGTGACAAGGAAATATGCAGTTTTTTGCAAGTCTGATTTTTTCACTATTTTTGCTCCAATATGACTGCATGATGAATAGCCCATTTCAGACAATAAAGTGATATAATTTTAGTTCCTGGTTTTAAATGGGGAAAATATCAGATATTCCAGTTTTGATACCAAATGGCAAACTTCAAACATAGCCAAATCAACCTCCTATATAGTATCACAATATTTTAAGTAAGGAGTAAATTAGTGTCCCAGTCCCAAAAACTCTCATATTACAATCAAAACTGTCTCCTGTTATTCCTATCCTTACCTTTTTCAAGCACAAAGTCTGGATCCACTCAGCCGTATGAACATCGAACACAAAAATGGCATTTTCTGAATAGCACATGAGGTAGGGATCACTGAATGCTGAAAAATAAGTGAAAGATGATATCAAAAATACATCAGCATTGTTTTATGTAAAAAATACAAAGTATGAAATATCAAAATTAGAAGAGATAAAAAAGATTAATTACTTATGACCTGGCAACCTCAAACGAAATTAATATGGCAACATCATGGAGGTACCACAGACAAGTATCAAAACTTGTGATAAATCTCAATAAATACAGGAAAACTTACCAACTGCTGTTGGAGGAGCAGGCCACATGAGTTCCTGGGCTCTACTTCTTCTACCACTGTTGTCTACATATATGCCAGAAACTAAAAAGAAAGCATGCCTTAATTTAATATGATACAACAGCTGGTGACTTGTTATCTGAAATCTTTACAAGTAACCTGGAATTTCTAAGGTAAAAAAATATTTTCAACTAATGTTTTAATATGTATTAACGTGTGTTCAAAGAGGCATAACTTCATAAAATCTACAAAGTACCATCAATACTAATAGGCACTCTTTTGGATATACCAGTATTTACCACTAATTATTAATGCATACTCATTCTAAGTACTCTTTGGGAGACACCCACACTTACTAAATACAAACAGGTACTCCTTGGGAGACACCCACACTTACTGAATACTAACAGATACTCCTTGGGAGACACCCTCACTTACTAAATACTAACAGATACTCCTTGGGAGACACCCACACTTACTAAATACTAACAGATACTACTTGGGAGACACCCTCACTTACTAAATACTAACAGATACTCCTTGGGAGACACCCTCACTTACTGAATACTAACAGATACTCCTTAAGAAACACCAGAAATTACTACTAAATACTAACAGGTACTCCTTGGGAGACACCCACACTTACTAAATACTAACAGATACTCCTTGGGAGACACCAACACTTACTGAATACTAACAGGTACTCCTTGGGAGACACCCACACTTACTAAATACTAACAGATACTCCTTGGGAGACACCAGAACTTACCACTATATACTAACAGGTACTCCTTGGGAGACGCAAGAACTTTCCACTAAATACTAATGGGTACTACTTGGGAGACACCAGAACTTACCACTAAATACTAACAGATACTCCTCAGGACATGCCAGAACTTACCACTAAATACTAACGGGTACTATTTGGAGACACCAGAACTTACCACTAAATACTAACAGATACTCCTCAGGACATGCCAGAACTTACCACTAAATACTAACAGATACTCCTCGGGAGACGCCATAACTCACCACTAAATACTAACAGATACTCCTCGGGAGACACCACAACTTACCACTAAATACTAACAGATACTCCTCGGGAGACACCAGTTCTTACCACTATATACTAACAGGTACTACTTGGGAGACACCAGTACCTACCACTAAATACTAAAAGGTACTCTTTTGGAGACACCAGTTCTTACCTCTATATACTAACAGGTACTACCTGGGAGACACCAGTACTTACCACTAAATACTAACAGGTACTACTTGGGAGACACCAGTTCTTACCACTAAATACTAACAGGTACTACTTGGGAGACACCAGTACTTACCACTAAATACTAAAAGGTACTCTTTTGGAGACAACTCCACTGCCTGCAGGGAGTTTTGTTGCGACTGTATCACAAACTGCAGACTTGAGTCCTCAGAATTTACAAGTGCTGTTAAATAAACACATTCCCTTTGGATAATTATTTAGTCAACTGAAGTTTTTTTAACTGAAATAAATTCTTTATAGTATTAAATTTACCAGTTATGGTTACAAAAATATTTTGATACACAACTTGTATCTAATATTACTGTGAATGTTGCATTTTTCTGATGGTTTTTTGTTTGTTTGTTTTTTTTGCATTTTAAGCAGAAGATTGATGTAAAAATGACATTGGACATTTTTTGCAAGTCATGAAACAGACTAGATTTCTTGATCATTTAGTTTTCGAGGATTCTTTTTTTTCCCCACAATTTATTTCATCCTCAAATAGTAAAATCTCCTTCAAAATAAGAATGTTTACAGTGTGTAAGTATGAAAACATCAGCAATATGATCAATTCCTTCCTATCTGTAATTGATATCTAATCCCAGAAGTTACAATTGATAAAACACACTTACTCATTGGTGCAGCATCACCTGTGACACTGTAAATTGCAAAGTATGATGGATAACCCACACAAAGTCTTTCATTCATAATTTCTATAAACTGCACTTGTCCCGGGACCTGAATGTCTTTCATTTTCCTATACTTCTGACGTGTCTTGTTGAGTTCATACACCTGTATAGTCCGTTTACTAGCTACACATAGACACGAGCAGCAGCCCTGCCGGATAAGTCCTGTACAGAATACACTACATCCCTTGCTCTCCGGGATCTTGACTGGATCACCTTCATGTCCTTCCAATGCAGACAAGTGCAGTAATTTGATATGCTTCTGTCGACCTGTAATGATCACATACATGATTTTAATTAGGAATGCAGTGTTTTAGCTTCAAAAGAGAACAAATGACAAAAGTGTTGATTCTATGCACTGTAAGAGTGCGTAAATCAAACCCTGCATATACCTGACAACAGTAAAATCATCACACCAAACCCTTAAGATATGCATTTCTTCATAAATCGTCAGTGATCTTTTCCCATACTAGGTCTCAAAGTCGTTATTCCATAATTCTATTTCAATTTTAAGATAACTTCCCCCAACTTTGATTGAAAATTCAATTTTTCACATCTACCAAATGTCTTTATTTAGAAATTCAACATAATAGAAAAACTGGAACATTTACCACTTTAAAAATAAATCCCTGTTTATTTCTACTCACCACTGATGAATACTACTAGTTGTTCTTCCAAGACTCGCTCTAACTGATACACAGTCTTTTTCTCATTACGGTCTCCAATACGGATCAGCACTGCAACACAAAATGCATGTAACTTTAGTACAGGCCTCTCTGGCATTGTGCAGGAAAAAATCTTGGTACAATCTTCTGTTTTTCTTATGGACTGTTTTGCCAAAATCAAAACAACAGAAAAAATCTACAACATACATCTGGAAATGTACTGCTGCATTGTTGACAGTTATCTAACACAGTAGAAGGATATACGCTCAGACAGGACACTAAGGGTGGGCCTTGTACATCAATTAGGAAATGTGACATAACCATAACTTGCTCATAATTGACTTTTCACAAGAAACTTACCATCTTTGTTCAACTGTGCCACATACAATCCCTCTTCAGTTCCCATCAGGATTCTATCAGGTTCTGAAAATAAACAATGAAATGTTATCTTAAGTAGTTTTACCCATGAAAACTAAGGGACAAATACTGCTTCTGTTTCATTGAAACAATGAGTGAAGTATTCCATACATATTTACTTCATCATTTCTCTTATTGTCCTCTTGTCTATGAAAGGTAGCCAACTTTCCGAACCTAAAGACTTACCAAGGATAACAGCCGACAAACAACTCTTTACTAAAGACAGGGAGTTGTCATACACCTCCTGGGCTTGGAAGGCCTGAAACAACAATTATGTACCAAACATGATGACTGTCATGACAGCAACACTCAAAGATGTAAACAGACAATAGTCATACAATACCCGACAAGAGAACAGAACTGAGTTTAAGCCATATGAGATATGTTATAGGAAACACTTACAATATCATGAACATAAAACACAAATATAATTGACAAGAGTTATAGATATCAGTACCACAGGTACAACCTGATGAAGACGTCAAAGTAAAATTACTTTACATAAATCCATTATATTGCCTTCATGATTTCATATGATAAATGTGTAATACAACGCATGTGTTGCTGAGGACAATATTGATAACTCACAACTTTGTCAGGTAATTTGTTCTTGCGTAGAAGTTTGTGTAGCTCATTGAGAGCACCAACCCAGCGATGTCGTTCCTGTTCACTTTCGGCCAACATTAATACTTGGTGTTTACTTCCTGGTGGATTCATTTCAGAAGTTGTTACCTGAACAGAAACAATTAACAATACATCAAGAATTAATTAATGTCATTTCCATTTTTCTGAATTTACTGAACATTGATAAACGTTTTAACGTCCACTTAATTTTGAGATGAAAAATATAAACTCTCCAAGCAAGACGTTAGCAAGCTCTTCTGTGAACTTCGACCTTCAACAATTAATGTATATCGTTAAAGGAAACAATCTCATTATTTTTCCTCATCACTATTCTTTTTTGTAAAGTTGTAACCTTATTGTCCTGTGCCAAGCTGTAAACTTACTCTAAATATGCAAGGTATATCTTTTTTGTTGGCATGTATCACATCTGAAGGTAGCACTGGACTGACGGAAAACTCCTCATCTCTGTCAAAAAAATTCAGAGATATGCAATTCTCATTTCTGTATCATTTCCATCCCACTTTTCACTTATTTTTGAATAAAAACTGATGTTTACACACATGAAATAAATACCATAATCCTTCTCTTAATTTTCTTGTTTTAATAAACATTTGTCTATTCATATCATTTCCTTAAAAAACTGTTTTGCTCATCATTCAACACAGCATCAATTTAATAATACAGGTAGCAATATATAAGACAAGGATGCTGACAATATATACAAAAGAAGAACATTTCCATAAAGATTCTAAAATAAGGGAGGATGTTTCTGCTGGAGTCTTACCTCATATCTAGGATTTGCTGGACTATATGACTGGGAGAATTCCGGTCAGGATAAATGTTGTCATATAAAAATAATTTAAAATCACAGACTACAACAAACTGTTTCACCCATCCCTTCTTTATTCCTCCAAACCTTGGCACCTGGAATAGAAAAAATCACCATCATTTAGCCTCAGAAACAGATTCAAACGACTTGCAAAATAACATCAAGAACGTTAATTAATTTTGGGTATATATAACTTTATGCTGGGGAATGAAACCAATGATAGCATGCTTTTTATTCTAGCTACAGCTGATATACTCACACGAACATAACCTTCATAGGCCGTCCCTATGCCCTTATATACATCTATTCCTAAACGTCGCTTTGCTGAAAAAAATGAAAAGAAAGCAACATTATTATTTTTATAATCCTGCCATCTGTTTTGAAATTAAAACATAAATTAATTGGTCTTTAACACACTACAAATACATTTTATTCATATTTTACAAAGTTTTACTACAAGTTATCTCCCCTCTCCCTTCCATTTTGTACTTGACTTGTGAAGACTTACTCTGATCAGGTGGAACAGGACAAATGTTTGGTGCCTTCTCTATACAATGTACATGACAGGTGTATCCACAATCTAAACAAAAAACAAAAAAAACATATAGATACTGAGTTCCATATCAAGATATCATGACATTGAAATTATGCAAAGGTTTTTAATTTGCATTCATTTCACTCCAACAAACAGAAAAATATAACTACTCTAAGCATATTTACAATATTATGTGGCTTAAAAATTGTATCGAAATGAAAACTTCATGATTTTGACAGAGGTTAAGACAAATCATCTGATTGATCTATTACTTTACACATATTCAGAAGTTTTTGAAGAAAAGATTTGAAGATGCCTGGCATGTAAAATTACCATAAACAAAAAAAAACCAATTACCATGTGAGATAACAATTATTTCACATATTTCAGAATTTTTTTAAATGTTCAATGTTGTTTGATACCTTCACACATTGTGCCCTGTCGCTGGACGCCGATCATGAGGGATGTACACTGGTTACACCTGTATGGTGTGGAGAATGTCTTCATGGTGAAGTTGTGAACTTTCTGCTGTGGTGTTGACCCCACCTTACTAGCACCCCAAGGCTGGTCATACACCTGCTCTGACGTTGATACCTGGTTTGCAGATATGTTGGTATGTGGTATATTATCACTAGTAGTTTCCGAACTAAACTGCAAGTCTGACCGTGAATCTGTACGCGAGTCTGTTCTAGATAGAGCATCCTCACTAACACTGTCTTCATCAGGCATGCTTTCATTCTCAGACTGAAAACAAAACATGAATGCATAATGTTAGTATTGTTTAGATATGACTACACTCTCAAGATTGAAACACATTTTTTATGAAGAGGAATGATAAATTTTTCATGGTGCAGTTTATTAAATCTATGCTCCTATATTCACACTAATAAAGGTACTCACATCATTCAGAAGTGAAAAATGACCCTTGAAAAAGTTCATCAGGCTGGAATCACCAGGTCTCTCTCTGAAAAATAAAACCAATGAACCCTTACAGATATTTTTCCACAGACATTTGCAAAAAAAACAAATTTTTTCAAACACCGTCATTTAACAGGTACGATTTAAGAATTTTTAACAACCACTAATACCTTGGTAGTGTGATAAATGAAGTTACAAAGAGTTATACTCTCACTTCTGACATGTTTCTTAAGATCAAAGTGATCACAATTACCTACTTGCTGTTAAAGATTTTAGCACAAAGATTTTGAATCAAACAAGAAATATCTCAAGTTTGTGCACTATTTTGTCCTTAATCAGCCCTGTTTGTCCCGTCCTTTTTATATTTGTCCTCTTCACTCTCCTAGATTTCTTAGCCCCTGTGTCTCTGTAGACCCCTGACCCTCTGTCGCTGTCGTGCAATCTTAGCTCCCCTACCCCTCTTGACTACAGCTTCTAAGACCCAACCTTTTAGGTCCCATCTTTCTGTAGTCTATGTCTGTGTTAGTCCATATCCTTTCATAGCCTGGTCTAACCCCTATGTGTTTTGTGGCTGACTATATCTCCTTAGCTCTTGCCCTCTATAGGCCCTGTCCCTTTCTTCAGTTCCCTGTTCCTCTATGGCCTGTGTTCGTTTCACCCCCTCCCCTTCTACCGCCCTATCTGTTTTAGCCCTCTCAAGTCTCAGTTTGTTTCTGCTGTTTATCCCTCCATAACTCCTGCTCTCTTCAGGCCCTTTCCTATTATTGTTCCTTAATATTCCCTGCCTTTTTTAATTCCTTGTCCCTCTGTAGCTTCTGTCCATTCATAGACCTATCCTAGACTTCCATTTTCCTCTACAATCCCTGTCTTTTGTATATTCCTGCTGTCAATTGCCTTATGTCCATCAAGAAATTGCTCCAGTTTTTAAAACTTACATTCTGTTCAAGTCATCCTGGAGATCCTCATGATCCTTCTTTAATTTGTCTATTATAGCCTCCAGTTCTAGGATCTTACTGAAAAGAGATTTACAAAATATAAACACATTAATTACAAGAGTTTAGTATTATAAATGGATTGTGTAATATAATGGAATAGCTCTTTGTACAGTAAAACAAACAGTAAATATATGTGTTTCCCTGACCTGTTCCCTTCATCACAATAGCATTACCTAATTTTTTTATCTAGTGTGATGTAAAGAGATTTGTATGACCCTGTACTCACGTCTCTCCAGCCACATTAGCAGCCTTGACCTTGTTGAGTTCCTCACTGATTTGTTGTTTGGCTTGGATCTCACTCTGCAGACTTGACTGCAGGTTCAGCAGTTCCATCTTATCAAGTCTCTGGGAACGTCGGTTTCGCCACCGCTGCCGATTCTTTTAAATAAAATATTCTTTGTCATTATTTCCATGATAACAAACAAAAAAACTTTTGAGATGATAAAATTTCAACAGAATAGTATTCTAAAGATTTTTCTCTTTAATATACTGTATTATTTGAATGTAACATCAAATTATCATGTGGCAATCCAAGTTTTTGGTTTTTTTTTCCAAATCACTAACTGACAAATTATTTTGCCAGATATATGTGATTTGGAACCCATGGAAAAGGCAGGAATTAAATGTGAAAAGGAAATTTATCAAGTTGTGTTTCTGATGCAGCTAATTAATTCCAGTTCTCCCCTCTTCCAGAGCAAAATATAAAGTAGAAATCATGCTATTCCTGTGAGAAGGATAAAGTATACCAGCTTGTTAAAATGAAACCTACCGAATCATCAGACACGCCCATTACTTTGAGATTTTCCAACTCCTCGGTCATTTTGCTAGCCAGAGCTTGTAAGTAGCCTCTAGCATCCTTTTCATCGCTCACCCTACAAGTTCAGAGAAAAGCATTTATCAAGGTATTTCAAGACAATCAGGTTTTATTTCATCATTCGTTTTTTTTATCTGTTTTCATCTACAAAATTATGCCAGATATTAACGTTATGATGTGTTAATCACATACACATCAGCATATTTCTGTAACGAATATGTTCTGTAATGAAATGTAATATTAAAAAATACACATAAGTACACCTCCTTGTACATCCAGTGATAAGAAAGGTCAGAGCAACAAACAGGCTTCATTTTAGAATCCATCAATAATCCCCTTTAAAAAACTATGGCACTTAAAAAAATTATGGATCTTGTTTAAAGACTGATGTGCCAAAAACGAATGCAACAAATATCAACTACTGTACACACTTCTGTGTATTGCCAACAGCATCAATACAACACATTCACAAAAAGCAATTCATTTGTTGATGTTATATTCTGTTAAATTTACAAACAGACTACCAGATTTTGTTTTTTAAGTGTGCAAACTTTTGTTCGCCAAGAATCCAGAATAACTTCTATGCAACAACCTGTACATTAATGAAAACTTTGTGAAAAACTCTTTAATACTGTTAAACTCAATCAACTTACCACTTAATGATTTCTGAAATCTGTGCTTCCCATTGCGCAACAGACTCTCGCTTTTCAAAGATATCTCGTAATTCCTGTTCCAGAGAGTTCTTCTCTTGTACCAAGGAATTCAGCGCAGATTCTTGCTGTAAACCAGATATATACAAAAGTGCTCAATGTGCATCACAACAATTCTTACTGCAAAAAGTTCATTTAAACATCCAAAACATTATCAAGACATCTTCAAGAATCACCTTGACAAGCTATTGAAACACCAGGAAATGTACTACAATTACACAGCAGATATAAACAACCCCCTCCTAGGAAGTGATAGACTTACAATTTTTAATTCTAAGCATGAGTCCAGTAAAGAGGAATCATAGAATTCAAGTACAGGAAAAAGTTATGTAGGTAATCATAAACAATTATTTTTTGTGTCATATTGATGAACATATGGGCTGTCAAGAGACAGATTATGTTGCTCAAAGGGGACAAAATAAAGTATGAAAAATAAGGAAGAGTTATGATTCTTCTGCACCGCCCTCCTTCTCAATGAGATCTATCTACCTATGAAGTTTCATGTCGATACCTCTTATAGTTTTTGTGTTATGCTCCGGACAAGCGGAAAGACTATATGCTCTAACTTCGGGGAGCATAAAAAATTCCTAAAAACTGATCAATGTTTTAGGTTTTCTTCCACATCAATTATTAAAAAACATTGGTTTTCAAACTTCCTTATTGGCATGAATGTATTGACACACATATCTTAAGGATAATTACAGTGTCATGATGAATGGGTGTTTCTACTGACAAATGAAACCCTAAGGATAATTACAGTTTCATAATGAATGGGTGTTTCTACTGACAAATGAAATATGTATCAGATGACATGCTTTTTGTTGTCAACAACCCAACATGCTTCCCTCAACATGTTTGTGAAGGATTATCAAGGACTAACATCACTGACTAGTATAAAAGGAATGACATCTGCATTTTCTCGAAATGCGATTAAAATAAAGCTAAAAGGCAAGAACAAAATATCCCGGATGCTGATATAACTGAAGGCAGTAATATTACAATTTGAAAGACTAACAATCATTAAACAGTCTATGAACACTCAAGAAACATGTTCAACATCTCAGCCCTGGTATTTCATTAAACACTCATAGAAATATTTCAATCCATCCAAAGTCGACAATGAATCATCCTGTACTACTAAGCCATGCTATACTTACGAATGCTAATTCTTCCTTTAATCTGGAATTTTCCTCTTGCATCACAGACTGCTCGCGACCAGAATGATCTGATTGTAACTTAAGTCTTTGTAATTCTGTTTGTAACTCATCCACAGATGCTTGATTACTAAGTTTTTGTTTTAATGTCACATTTTCTTTGGTAATTTCTTTGGTTTTTAACTCGAGTTCCGACATAAGAAACTGTCTATCACTAAGTTCAGTCTGGTGCTTGGACAATAATCTAGCTGTCTTTTCCTCGTTTTCTACTTCCTTTCGTTCCATTTCTGTTTTTAATCTGCAGCAACAAAGGAGAAAAATATATTATCAGAAAGAAATTAATGTTCATGATAAGTTAAATATTAAGACAAAACATTACAGTAAATGCAAACTCTTCTAATATTTAAACATCAGACTCCCATTCCAAGCATGTCAAAATAATTACTAATGCAAACCCATAATTTGCATTTCCATTGTAAGACTTCATTTACCTCAAAACAATTATCCAAGAATTTCGGATCACTATTGATATTGCTGCTGGAATACAGTAGAATGCAGCAGATAACTTTTCACACTCAATAAGGGAGCCATCCCCTCTGTTGGAGACAGCTGAGAGTATTATCCACTTCACAAAACCTATCTACAGCACTTATCAAATCAATGACACTGTACCTTGAGATTTCTTGTGTTAATTCTAACGTCGAGGTGTTTGATGCCCTTCCTAGTTGTTTGCGTTTCATACTTTCTATTTCTTGTTCTAAATCCCTTGAAAAAGCCTCTGCTCTCTCTTTCAGCTTCCTTTCCTTACTCGCCTCAGATCGATACTCATCTGATTGATTTTGTAGCTGTAAAATAAAAATTTACTCTTCAAATATACTTACAGGTAATCAATTATGATCTTTTGACATAAACTTTAAACAGAGAATTCCTCTGGACAACTTTTATGCTTCAGCAAGTAATTAACCAGAACAACATTTGATACAGGGTCACAATTCAAGTGCAGCAACAAAGATGCATTGTGATTTTGTTGCAGCCTAGAAATACTATGCGATAAAAATATGTAAGAAATAAACATGTACTAAAATACAATAACAACAACACGAACAGGGCTGGCTTAGTATACTCCTTCCCAAACCCCACCCTCTCATCTACTTCTTCAGATCTAAATCTACTGAAGTATTAATCTACTAAGGGCCTTTAACCTTGATCAATAACCACCAAAATCTCATTACATGTAGACCTTGGTTGGGTAATACTGTGGTGAGAACACAAGATATCTTGTGCACATGGTAATTATGAACAGACAGGGGCTTATGATGCATAAATATGCAAAGTGATTACTGCATACCTCTCCTTATGTAATGATAATAAGATTAAGTGTTGGAGGCAGTCTATACTGGTACTCACGTTTATAGGTACATACATCTTAAATACGGTCCAGACAAAATAGTGAACTAAAATTCATAACTCTTTGTAATGGAAAACAATACCCAATAACACTATTCAAAAAGGTACTAAAAATGTCTGATTATATCTAGGTAAAAGAGTGTATGCAATATGAAATTGTCACATAACACACAGAATGACAGGTGAAAATCTAGTCTAGATCCCTCCTGTGACAGTGTTAATGCTGTTTTTGAGTATACCCATGTCAAATTTTTATACCCATGTTAGATTTTTATCCTAATTCAATTTATCATGTCCATTTGAGAAAGTAGCCAGCATTGCCTACCTCTAATATAGACTTTTCAGCTCTCCTTCTTTCATTCTTCATGCTATCTGCTTTCCTTTTGTACTCTTCCACCTCCTCATCTTTGTTTCGAAACTCTCGTGTAAGTTCCTTCACCCTTGCTTGGGATTTCAATAACCTGAAATAATTGAAACTTTTAGCTTTGTCAAATCCCAGGAGTGTATAACAAAGAAGTCATAGGTGGTTGGCCCAGTGGCAACACACTCGCCTTTCACCTAGCTGTCCGGGTTTGACTCCTGGAACGGACGTGAAAAGGTAAGGATCACCTGCGCGACCACTTGGGTTTTCCCCAGGTACTATGGTTTCCTCCCACAATAAGACCCCTTGCACACTTACATCCGGGCCAACTAGAGTGATTAGAATAAGTTGAAATAACTTGTTTCACAATTGTTGTAAACTAAATAGTTTATAGGTTATAGAAGTCACATGGTTTTTGATAATTAATGCAACCACATAACAAATTTAACAAACATTTTCAATCCAATTAAGCTGAATCAGAAAAAAGACCTTTATTCTTCCATATAGTTAGTACATGTTGTGGTTAAGGTACACATGTATCTAGTTTCAAATACTAGAACTGTTCGTAGATAAAAACGATATTTACATGTCAGTATTTGAGCACTCTAAGTTACAAAATACTGGCAAAAATCCTGAATGGTATATGAAAATAATAGAACACAACACTTTCTTATCAAACTTCAATATGTCTACTTATTACTTACGAGTCGTTAGAATCAGTATATTGTTCTATAGCTATCTTTTGTTTAGCAAGTGCTTCCTTCAGTTCTCTCGCTTGTTGTTTGTATTTGTCTCGGAAGTCTTGAAGTTCCTGTGTTACAAAAAAAGAACAAATCTTAAATATCATTTTCTCATATACATAAAACAGTTTCAATTCAGTCGTGCAATGTCCGAAACTTTTCCTGTGTGACAAAGTTATACATAGCTATACATATATACACTTGCACTTATCAAAACCTCAAACCTGCCCATCTTTTACTGATTGCTGACATTTAAGTTTAAATAATTGCAGATACTACAGATTATTTCCAGGTCATCTTGGCTTTAGTTTGACAATATTTTTCTGCACACACTATTTTGAAAGAGACCAAGCATAAGAAAGCATATCAAACCTTTTCAAGGGCAGATTTCTCCTCATCTAAAAGTCTGATGCGTTTCTCCAAATCATGTTTACTATCAACTGCCCGCTTGAGCTCTTGCTCAACTGTACTGATCTCAGTTTGTGATTCTAGAACAGAAGTATCATACATACACAAATTGGTATAAACTGTTCTGACAAGACTGTAAGTTATCTAATCCAAGTAGACAACACACTTTTTGATTATATAGGTAAAACAATCTTCGAACAGTTTACATTATCCTCATTTCTAGTCAAAAGCAGTCAACAAGATGTGTGGTTATTTATGATGTTAATTACTGATACTATACCTGCGACCACTCTATGCAATACAGCTATCTCCTCTTTGAGTTGGCGGACCTCTGATTCAGCAGCACCAGCCGCTGCGGCTGCAGCAGTACTACTCATCTCTCCGCTGTTGAGTTTCTGTATTGTCATACTAGTCTCTACAACCGCAAACAAAAGTCTCATCCTTACAAAGGTCCATAAATGACATAAGGGGTGTGCAACAGGATATCACAAAATTTTCTCTGAATGGCAGTCCCCCAATATGAAGACTTTAAGCTTAAAACACATAAAAAGAGTCTCAAAGATAATTTTCATTATATTCTCTTGTGATTTTCATACTTTTTGCAAGAGTTATAAGAAAAGGTATATGTCATTCATTATATTGAATGGTGCAGATATCATCTTTGTTTTTGTTCCATCATTTCATCTTAAAACTGGCAAAAGTAAATCTGCCATTATTGTGATATATATTCAAAATCTAAACACACAGTTATACATTTTTTAGGAGAGGGACACAAATTTTACCTTGTAATTTACGTTGTAATTCTTTATTTTCTTTTTCTAGAGACTTAATCTTCCGTTCAAAAGCTTCAGCAGCTAAGGACTCCAACTTCTCTGTGTCCATCTCACTTACATCCTGAAGTGTCCCAAGATCTGAAATTTGTCTGCAAAACAAATAAAAAACAAAAAATAAACATCACATGGAAATGAGAAAAAAAAAGAAGACTATATTACCATAGACTTTGATCAGTAACTTAAGGACAGCATGGAATTAAAGAGAAAACAATTCAAACAATAATGATTCACTAAGTTGATTTTTCCACACAAAAATAAGAGTACACTTACGACTCTGATGTAAAGGAAAATCCTACGAATGGAAGATGATGACCTTTGAAAGCAGCATTTGACACTGGTGGTACAGAATCCTGTTAATAGAAACAATTTTCTGTAAAATATGTCATAACATTCACACAAATTTAATTAACACTGCAAAGGGAATTATGCTATTAAAGGAACATGTAACTTTTCTTCATCTGCAAGCATTTGATTTAATACATATTTTCCAAAAACCTGTTACTTATGTGCAAGAGCTTAAGTCTGAATAACTTTAAAACTGCTTAAATTCAATAAGTAAATTTTACATATACTTCTTAAGAAGAGATATACTCACTGTATGTCTGAAGTCAGCATCATCAACATCAAAATTGGATGTGTCTGTTGGGCTGCTCACTTCAGGGACATAGGGTGGCGTCACTGTAATAAGAATTTAATATGTTATTGCATGACTTCACTACCTTAGCCACCAAACCCTAATCTAATTTACTACTAATTCACGAAAACAGTGAATCAACAAAGTTATCTAAAACTTACAGGGTTTAACATGTCTACTAAATCCCAAATGTAAGAAACACTAATATTTTCAACTCAATCCCTGTAAAACTTTATTTTTATAATTAAGTATTTGTTATATTATACTAATCATTTGAACAAAATGTTCTTAAATTCCTTGATTGTGCCAAAGAATGTTAGATTCTACGGTTATGCCAAACTATCAAATATGACTCAGTGCTTTTCTTTTTGCAAAAAAGACAGAAATACAAAATATATATATATTTGAAACCAGGCCAGTGAAAAAGTGTTTGGCTGTTGAGCTCTCATCTGTGGTATAAATATCACAGTTATCTATATCCAATGTAGGCAAGAAATTAAGTTGACTGTCTTTTACCTAAGATCCCATATCAGCACTAAGCCTAACATATTTCTTCAAACTTTTAACTGTCAATGTAAAGCAGGAAAGAAGCAGACTTTATATGCTTGTTAAAGTGTTAAGCCCCTAGAGTCCCATCCTTTGGGTTGAGAAAACTTTTATAGTACTCACTGGTACGGATATTCTCCCAATCAATGCCTTCAAACCAGGGATGATTTTTGAAGTCATCCAATCCATTCTTCCCTAAGCGTTTGTCTGCACCACAAATGAGTAACTTCAACAGATCCTTGGCATCATCAGAAATATCATCTACATCATCTGGGAATTCAAACCGTGTCTGAAAGAACAAAATAATGTCAATGAGAATTCCAACAGTCTACCACAAGATAGAACAATCTCTCTGGAATGTTAATTCCAATACCAATTTAAAAGACTTGACAACTTTAAAAAGAAAAAAAAAAAATCTTTTTCTGCAAGATGTTGCTGATAAAATTGCATAGGGTGCAATTTATCTTTAACATGTCAAGAATGTGTGTGATGCCAAGATGTCCCTGATTCTGGAGAGGGTTGTGTTGAGTGCAGCAATCTATCACTATCCTATAAACACTGCTGATAGCAGCTATTAAATCTTGCTTTATGGGACGATGACACCCCGCTGTGCCCAACAGCCTGTTCCGATAATAGAACAGTGAGGACACCATATGATAATGAGGATGTGAAATCAATCAATATTTAACAGTCTTTCAACTATGGCAGTACAAATATCATTCATTCATTTCTCCCGCACTAGACTTTCTGCTGTGTATCTTATCAGGGTTTAGTAATGATCCCACTATTATGATTTTACAGACCTGTCAATCACACTGAAGGTAATGGCCTCATTTTATAATGTCCACAGTTAAATACCAATAATTAATTCGTTTTATTCTATAGGGCTTTTCAAATAAATTTTTTAAGTCAATATTTTATTTTTTTTCAAAATTTCCTTTTTTTTTTTTTTGTAAGTTTTTGAAAAACTAAATAAAAACTTATTTCAATTATTACAGAGAAACACTTTTCATAAACTTTATAGTGATATAATAAGTTTAAAAAATTGTTAAAAAATGTAGGGAAATATCTAGTTATTATTCTTAAGCACTGATGTTTTAAATTACTTTTACTTATTCATTTTTATACTTTAGTTATTGCTCCCAGAGAAATACTTGTCAAAATGACAAAATGAGTTTGTGTCCCCCCCTCCCCTCAAAATACAAGCTTTAAATCTTTTACAGATATAACATATCCATCTACACATGCTACAAAAGAAATGACGCATGAAACATGGATAACGAATCTAAACCATTTATCTGCTCGACCATGGATAACCAAATTTTATCGATCAAATTTGCTTTAACATCCTTCTTAGGTTTTCAACAACTTCACAACCTTGTGTACAAGATGCTACACTGTAACCAGTTGAGCATGACCAATGCATCCAACCCTGGTGACCTGATGATATGCCCAACTCTTTGTACATGCAAGTACCATCAGTTTCTGAATGAAAGGGCAGGACCAATGGCTGATTTTATTACAGAACATATTGCATGTGAGGTAGTTGTATAGTATGATAATCCCCAATCCTTACATTAGTCGATTAAAAAGTCTACCCTGAATTTTAAGTACATGCTTATTAACATGGATACCAATCAATCAAAACAAATAATTTTTTCAGGAAATTCTTTCTTCATTAAAAGGACATTCTTTCATTGAAACTACTTCAGTTTATAAAATAAAACTGAAAGGAAAACATGGTTTTTTTAAGTAGTAAAAGTTATCACCTTTACATAAATATGGCAGTCAAAGTCTCAAAATAATTTCAAGTTATTAAATTATAAATAATTTGAAATTCTTAATTCAGCCGAAGTATAATGATAACTGGTAGATATAGACACTGTCTATTAATTATACATGTATTTTCAGTACATTTCCATGCTAATTCCATCACTGACAGGCAGTGTGATCCTCTTTTCTTGTAAATTTGAGAAACAATAGCATAGCACATTCCTGTCATATCAATGATGGAATGTCCCTTTAACAACTTAATCTGAACCATTTCTTTTCTCTTCTAAAACAAAAGTTGTAAGCTGAAAACACAGTAAATTGTGTCCTTAATGGGCACAGTGACCTGTGTATGTTCTGTCAAATGTTCTATCTGGGTATTTTATATTTTGACTTAAATATTATACACACAGTTTGAATAAATTAAAGACATTAATGTACAAGTGATATTGTATGACTGAAATCTTGACAGTATCCAGAGCATTCAAATTTTACTTCCTCTTATGTAGTAGCCAACAGCCATGTATATATCTTTTCACGAGGAAACACTCCAGATTAAAAAGGGCCCTTATGTGTATTTCACATTATTTCAGATGGCATATTTCTCAAAATATGGGGTTCGTCTCAATACATACGCTTCAAAATTTCATTAGAAGACATCAATTAGTATACATTTTTTTACATTGTCCTCTGAAACACATATCTTAGCTAGACTAGATAAATAAGTCTATGATATACCAGTGATCAAAGTATATATAATGTTGACCTTTTACTATCTTGAATTATTGACAACATGTAGATGTGTGGATGGTTCCTGGTGCCGACTATATAGCTATTTGTAGATGCAGTGAGTACATGTGTCTTGTAACTCCACCAGTAATCTACCAATTAACATGCTACCAGTCACATGTGGTTTGTTGAACTGTCTACTCCCACTGTGTTTGTGTGTATCTGCTGCTGAGTCAGGTATCACAGTTTGTATGCAAGTATATAAATCCCACCAGAATAATGGAGAATTAAAGTACCATCTATACAAATCTTCATTCATATTTCAAAATTTACAAATATTACAGAAATAAAATATAAATTTGGAAATTACAACTTTTATATACATAACTTTCTGGTATCTCTTCTTATTTTATCACAATAATTATTGATGAAGTAACTGGATTTAATTTTTTATGGTCATAATTATGAAATTTTATTTTACATTTGATAAACCCACCAACAAAGAACCTTTGTATGCCTTACTGAGCCTCATTCAATCCATCATTATGTAGCTGAGAACAAATGACCTTTTTCTTAATAATGAACTTTTTTAACATTTACCAACATATGAAAGGACAATGGCAAGGACAAATGAATTCTAAGTACCCGCTTTATTGCACAGGTCTCATTACCTGCTTAAGAGACATTTTTATTTGGCAGTCATATGTATGAATTTTGATAGAACAGTAACAGTGAGTCCTCATTGTCTAACCATAGTAATATATCATTTTATTTCAGGGTATTATAGAAATTTCTATTTTGTTAAGCTCCACAAAACAACTTAAAAGTAGATCTATATTAATAGTTTTGTTTTTTGTTGGAAATGTTTCCAGTGTTTAGAGATGGTACCTAACCCGAGCTAATGTACATTGTGTTACATCTCCCTGTAGAAATCTCCCTGTAGAAATACCAAAGGGCAGCCTAGAAATATGTAATACTTGCATGTCTGCATGTCTGTGAGACAAGGCTGGGTATAAACTTATATACACACAGCTACAGTTTCATGGTGGCACTATTGATTGTGTTTAGTCTGTCCCCAACTGACTTGTCTTTTGTCAATAATTGATCAATTATTGATTGCTAAATGTGTTTATGTCATCAAAGACACAAGCACTGGGCTATTCTTTTACCAGACAAATATCTTTTTTATTGGCAAGTACAGCTGTTCCATTTCATATCTAAGCATTTGTGAATTAGACTGACACAATTCTGATGAGGATAGGCAATGGCTATCACCGGATTCAGAACAGTATATATTATGAAATTTGTGAATTGATATCCACTTATTAACAGGACTTTTATATTCTCATACATAGACCAAAATTTTATACATAACCAGAAAAGACATGCAATAAGGAGTAACTACTTGATATTGTATTACACACCAATGAAAAGAGAAATAATGACTAAGCTGATTATGTTGAAATGGTAATTAATTAATTATGATTCCTGCTACAGTTGGTCCTTTGAAGGTACAAACAAATGATTTACAATCCTTCAATAGCTACGAGAAATTTGCTCCCTCATTCATTTGCCGGCATAACAAAGAATACACATCTAAGAAAGAACATTTTAAGAAATGTTGATGAGCTTACCTGATGGTTCATGATTTTGCCATATGTTTCCACTAGAGACTCTGCATAAAAAGGTGTTTCTCCATATAACATCTCATACATGCAGACTCCCAATGACCACCAGTCACACTCCGGGCCGTACCGACCATGTCCATCCTCCATAGCCTACAAGTTACAGATATATTAATATACGAAATCTGTCATTTAAATGTGTCAATGAAAATGCAAGTAAAAATAGAAACACTAAGCGGTGGTTTAACAGTGTAAAAATATCAAATAAAACAAGGATTACCTAGAACAAAGCTGAGTCTGTCAGACATCATCAGAGTTTATCATAGCTAATAGTGAATGACTTTGACCTTTCAGCCATTACATTTATCCTTAATTTTGGTAAAGTTTGACATACATGGTATATAACCAGTAGAAACAAAATCACACTGCTTATGAGTTCTTGTAAAAGATACCACCCATTTGATTGTTAAGATAACCCTGGTTTACTTCAGACAAATTTTACAACATAGTTTAATCAGTTCAGCAAAATAGTTCAAAGGGAAATTGGAGATAAACAAGTGAACAGATGCAATGCAAAGATATATCATCTGACCTTGACCTATCAAATCAGATTGAATAAAAGTGAAAGACAGTTACCATGGTTTCTTATCAATAGCGTACTATCGATATGACTATACAAATGATAAGCTGGACGAACAGGAGATGTATGCTTAGAAGGCCATAGGAACAAGACTGACTATGACATGTATTTACAAAGCAGGACAGAACCAATACAGGACACTGATAAACAAAATTGTGTGGATGTAGTATGAAAGTCCAGAGAATTTCTGGAAGTGATGTTCTGGGAGGACAAGAGATCCTACAAATCCCAATGGAAATGGCATTTTAAAGCTGTAAAGAAGCAACAATGACAGAATTTTCTTTAACTGGACAATATATCTTCTTAATGAAAAACAGAGTCCAACTTTTTCCATTTTTTCCCTAAATCAACCAAATTTTGCATTCTTCTTCACCAAGACAAACTTCTGTATTTCTACATGCAGTATTTTAAGTTCAGACCAACAGCATTATAATGAAGGGAATGCCTCTAAGAGAACACTTTAGCTGTAGAGATCTTATGAGCTGAATGGGAATGTTATCTATGAAGAAGACTTACTCGAAGAATTTCTGGGGAGATGTAATCTGGCGTACCAACTGCCACTGAAGACTGCACCTGGAAGTACAAATTTTACATTATAAAACACTTTCTATTTATACTATAAAATATTTTCTAGTATCGTCACTAGGTACCTCAATTTCGTTGTGATATTTGTTGAATGCATTTGACAGTTGGTTCACCAATAATATTATCAGAAAAATCAGCTTAAATTTATAATAAAAAAAAAACAAAACAAAAAAACACAAACTAAAACTAATCAAAGTATTATATTGTCCAAAGGTATGAGTAACTTAGTATTTTTATTAAAATCTTAGTTTGTTAGAAATGTGATTTTAAAATATTTAAATCATGACTTACCGTTCCATCTTCCAGAAGCCGAAGACATGAACCAAAATCAGCTAGCACTATATGACCACTTTGATCTATGAGAACATTGTCTGGTTTTATATCCCTATGTACGTAGCATAACTTATGAATAGAACTTATAGCTAACACCATTTCAGCGATGTAGAACTTTGCCATGTCTTCTGGGAGACGATCCTCAAATTTACTCAGCAGTGTTAGAAGATCACCTCCACAGTAATAGTCCATCACAAGGTACTGAAAAAGATCAATGATGACAGCAATTAATGTAAGACTATATCATATATATCTTACTACTATGGGCTCATGAATGAAAGGAGGCATCGCTTATAGTCCTAAGTTAAGATTTCATATTAATCAGTTTTCTTTCATTATTACAATTTCAAAGTGTCAATTTCAAATACTTTATTTACAGTATTGATATGATACCTACCAGAAAGTTGTCATCTTGAAATGCATAATGGAGATTTGTGATCCAATGCCGGTCACCATAGACCAAAACATCTCTCTCTTCTTTGAAACAAGCAGTCTGAGAGAAGAAGGAACAAACATGTAAAGCAAGTTTTACAAAAAAAATCTTTTTTAGTTTAATGAATTTATTACTAAACTCTATTCTGTAATTGCATTATCTACATGGTGTTCCATGCCCCATTATACTGGCTTTGAAATGTATTTGGATTTAATATATGGAATGGTTTACAAATCTTTTCTTTCATGAAATATTATTTTTTTTTATCATTCTTTATCATAGGTCTGTTCACATTCATCAACAATTGTAACTTTTCTTTCAGTTTCCTGTATTACTAAATACCAGGCCCAGAAAAAACATTGGGAGACAAATAATAAACTTGCCTATTTTGTAGATACTAATAACTCTACACACCAAATCTACGTATATGGGCTTTAGAATTATTCCACAAAACAAAACCCAGAATTCTGTAGATTGCTTGATGAATAAATAAACGGAGTCAAGGACTTTGGTAGAGACATCCTAATATATTGTGCTACTCTTGTGACAAAAGATACTCTATCCTACTGTTTCTCATCTGGACTGATTATTTTCAAAGTTGAAGATGAAATATGTATAACACATAAAATAATGAATACAGCTTCAACAATACCACACAGTTAACAAAACATGTTACTGTAGAAACTGAATTGTTTGTGGGAGCTAATCAAACTAGAAATGGTATCAGTGAAGAGGAAAAAAAAATGAAAAAAAAAATAAATAAAAATACTAAATTAAATTACCTTATTTTTATTTTGTATATGTAATCAAATATTTTGATTTATAGTTAAACTCTCAATTTTTTATTTAACTGATGACTTTATTTCAAACAAAAAACTTGATTAGAATACAATTTTTTCTGATATCTTAGGATATGAATTACTGATAATTTGGATGAAATTTGCAAGGGGTGGAAAAAAAACTTATTAACAAACAGAAAAATTTTAAGTTATTTTCAAACCCTCAATAAAATGTTCATATATGAAGTTCTTCATTATCTTTTCCAATGCTACTTCAAAAGTAATATTGAGATTTTTTTTATTCTAAAGCAGACCTTTCTGTAACTCACACATCAGGATTAGCATGAATCTGAAATGTGACTGCTATATCATGCTAATGAAATTAACTTTACACCATTAGTATTTAACACTTATCATTCATACTAAGTTAACAAGTCAGTTCCATCTGCTGTAGCACATCGCAGTAGCAGCAGCAGCCGTAGCAAATTGACAAGCATAATCATGTGTGAAAGCCGAAAAATGGAAGTTGTGTGTTCTGGGGAAGATACTTCTGAAGTATATTTAAATATTCATTTCCTACTCGACAGCCTGCCCAGTTGAATGTCAGACAGCTGTATAGGAACTTCACAGGAAAAGTCAACTAATTATTTTGTAAGACATACACTAGATAGCTCGCTCATCAAGATCTTTAAACAGTCACATGCTTCAGTCAGTTTCACCAGGATACAAAAGGTACATATAAGTGGTACAAGTTCACACAACTGAGCAGCATTTCAAATCTTAATATCTTTCAAGTTCTATTTCATGCCATCAAAATGTGTGCTATTTATACATATCTAGTTCTATTTCTATATCAATAGACACTGATGAAAAACTGGTCAAGTGAAGACCCTTTTTTTAAATTACTCACTTCTGCTCGTTTCAGCATCTCCCATTTGTTGAGGATTTTCATTGCATAAACCTTGTCTGTCGACTTCAACTTAACCACTGCCACCTGAGATAAAAGAAATAGTGTTTATTCTTTCAGTACTCAATTCAAATTTCGCGGTCCCTACCGAAAGTGACTTTTGGGTTGGTCCTTTGCATATGACAGTTATCCAAGCACATTGCTGTAATGCTCACCTCAAAAGAAAATCATTACGACTCTGAGGTCATATCAGTATGTTTGCAGCAATCTTTTGTATCAAATGAGTTGAAATGTTTTTATTGAATATATACTAGGAAATATGATCCAATTGTTAAGTAACATCATGTATCGTGTGTAATTTATCACTCCTTCTTAACCTCGTTTTTTCCATTGCATTCATTAGTCAGGGCTCTCGATCTGCCAGATTTGGGGCCAAATATTCCCAATGCAAAAAAGTATCTTTTTTCCCCAATTTAGACCCCTAGTTTTCCCAATTCTAAGGAAAACACCATTATTTTTCCCAATTCTAAGGGCCTGGGCCCCTGTCCCAAAATGGGGTGTGAGAGCCCTGTAAGTTATATGTATTCCTGTTTTATTTTAAGGATAAACTATACTCAATTATATATATTTCATAGTTTGTTTCTTGTTCTCAATGCCTCAGCAAAAAAAAAAACCAAATCTGTCATCTTGTTGTCATTGTAAACAACTTTGCATAAACCAGCCAATTTACAAGTATCTAATTATTTTAATAAATGAATTCTTATTATCTGTTGAATATACAGTATGATCATGTCTCACTACCGAGTTACACAAAGTGTATCATGACGACTCATGATGTCGCAAAGGAAAGAAGACATGGTAACTACCACCTCTCAAGATGTCATGGAAGCACTTTTTGTGACATCTCAAGACATCATAAGTGCACAAGGAGTTAATTACACTTGTTGGAGAACATGATGTTTTGCAATCTGATTAAAGAACAGCATATTGCTATCTTAATCCAGTATTACATCAAACTGACTGTTAGTACTGATTCAATGAAAATACTGCTGTATCCCATAATATTGTAAGATTGTGACTGAAGATAAAGCTTTATGAGTCACATATGGATTTAGAATCAGAAATAGTAGAAGTTGCACTCTAATATTGGCATTATAATGCATATCATCGCAATAGTTTAATACATACATGTGCACTGCCACACACGCAGCACACCATTTTAGAGCTACATTTGAAGCAACTCTTATTGATTTTTGCTGGTTCCAGGATCAGTTCCATAAAATTTGATTTGTGAGGCAGGAGAATTTGCATCGATAGCAGCATTTCATTTCCAACAAGGCAATGCTTTCATTCTATATGTATTAAGTATACTACAGATATATTGGATCTATGAAAACCATTACAACACACTACAGACACCTCCATGTTTGTAAGCTCCACGTTGATGTGAAACACCTCAAAAACTTCATTTTCATCTATAACAAAAATGAATCTTTAACTCCTTTCATCTTTAACCAAACTGCTTTCTCTGTAATTATAATATTAATGAAAAACAGACTTAACTTACCTCGCCAAAAGCACCTCTGCCAATAATTCTGATGGTCTCAAAATCATCCCGGTGAAGCCTGTACTGCTTGATCTTATTGACCACTGGCTTGGCTACAAAATAAACAAAACAAATTGTAACACTAGTCCAAGATACACTTTGTAATCATCCTGACCAGTAGGTCATAATTACATGGTAGATCACATCTATTATGAAAACAAGCAAAAATCAATTGTGTTATTTTTTAATATGAAATGTACAAAGTGTTTCTTTGCTGCATTTACCATTCTGTCAACAACTAGGATCTTTCTGAGGTGGTGTCTTATTGAAGAAGCCAGTGGCTACCTCATTATTGAACAATATAAGGGAGGCCTGTCACATCATCCAGAGAAATAATGTTAAATTGTCTTGGTCATGGACACAACATCACAGACAAGTCATGGCCTCAGCCTCCTGATCTGAGGATAAATAGTCTGTTACTCTAATGACTGAGCTCCCCGTAACAAATACATAAGTTGTATGTATATTAGTAACAATAAATGTCTATGGACTTAATTTATTAAATTATTTTACTTTGATGTATATATCATACAAATAATGGACAGGCCAAATTATATCAACTTGTATAAAAGGAAGGATTCATTTTACAGTTTAGTATGCTGACTATTTGAAGAGGTTAATATATAGGTTTAAATTGTTTATTGAAATTTTGTCTTTGAAATCCCCTTATCTCACTTGCAATACACTTAAACAAGGTGTGATCCAATACAAATGTATTGACACAGTCCCACGTAAACCAACATTACAGGAGATAGTACTTCAACTAAATTGTTATACACCATAATTACCTACATGCTAAGTACATAATGATCTACAATGCACTTGTCATTGTCCCATTGATCTCTGTTCATTTATGTGTCATACATGTACATACATTGTATGATCTGTCCATGTTAAAATCATTTTCTCATAGTGTTTTTCCACTCAAATTTAATAGCAGTCTATGCCAGAATAAATTAGGAAAATGCAGTAATGTCTTCTTAAATAATTTGGACGCTGTATCACACTTTGAAGTAAGGGGATGAAAACAACCTATTTTGGGCTACAAAAATGAAGCATGAAAAATTATTCCATGTGTAATGATGATCACCTTGAATTGTTTGCAAGTTGTCATGGAAACCAATGCAGCACCCCTTCTCCTACCAACCCATCCACTATTTCTCCCCTAAAACTCCCAAGCAGCTGCAGAAAGAAACATTACACCTGCTCATTAAACAAACCTGATCGGTAAGATATTACCTTGTAACTCCCCCAGTGTATTCTTGTTGTGTAGAGTTATGTGATATTGACTGGGTGCTAAAACTCCTACACCTCTATTTTGGCTGTATTGCCAACAGTAATAATATCCAGGCTATGTTACACTCGTGTACATTCTACCCCTACCATATTAATTTCAAGGCATGTAACAAATGTTTTTACAAATTGTAGTACATAATTCGCATGCATCAGATCTAAACCAGATAACAAGGTCACCAACTAAACTGTTTAAATTGTATAGCTAAATGTTACATTACTTCCCTATCAAATCCCTACAAGTTATTTTTTAGTTATTTCCAGTATGCAGTCAGGCAAATCATATGCAATTCAAAGACGACAGGTGATCAGTACAAAACACAGGTAAAATTTCCCCCTTTTAACAGGTAAAATATGAAAGTTTATGAACACTTAATCATCCACTGAAGAAGGAACAAGGACGTTTTGCAGGCAGACTGATTAAGACTACTGCTCTTAGTGCTTGATGGTGTTTACTCCCATGTCATGTGTTCTATCAGGAAGTCTTAAAATTTAACTTTCCAAAGCAGTTTCACTTATCTCTCTATTTCTTACCCAAGATATGACATGTACCAGTTTTCATAAAAATAAAAATCAACATGGATCAGATGAAAGACTGACCTTTTCAACTATTTAATCTGTGCATGTTATATTGTATGTTTGAAACATGATCAATGAACTTGAAATAAATGTGAAATCAATACACTTATCCACATGATTCTTAGTCACAAATTGCATATGCACCAACCCCACCCCCCCTTCAAAAAAAAACCCCTTTGAATGAAGGCATTGTATATTAAGACTTTCAAACTAGATGGCATCACAATCAGAACTTTAAACACTGAAAATAATGCATTTTCACACTCACTAAGTTCTTATTTTTAATTTTTTCCATAATACATAATCAAAAATGAAACCGTTGAAGTGTTTTTAACCTGAAAAAGGATTTTCAGATCATAAATCTTTCAGATGATTATCGTATACTAGTTGTATGCAGGTGTATGCAGTAATAAAAATCTCCATACAAGTCCTGAGCTCTGTAGTTATGAATTTTAATGAAACTCTTCGAATTTCTTGAAATACTTTCATAATTTTACATCGTGGACTCATGGTTTTTAGCAATAAAGTTGAAAAGGACACATGAAATAAATTGTAGATTGATCAATGTATATGGGTCAAGGACTCCTGGCTTCTTGTCTACATATTAGGAAATAGTTACCTGGGGGACAGTTTGAGATGAGTCACTTAAGTAACGCATATAGATAACTCAACACTTCAACTATCTTATAATGAACAAAACGAAATGTTAAGGAAACAAACATATCAAATAACTTGTTGCCCAATCAAAGAGACGAGGGATCGATTGGTCTAATTGGGAAGAAACATCCTGCATAAGTGACACATGAACACCTTTGTTATGTGTCGTAAAATTCATGAAACCAAGCTAGAAGTATTTCTAATTTCAAAACTCTGAACTTATGAATTAAAATTCAAAGCATATCATACACTTTCTTTTTGTTAAAATTCAATAGTTGTAGCTGTAGTGTGTCATATCCAGGAGGAACACACATAAAATCGTGTCAGCACACTGCTAGCTATAACCTGACAGAAGAGGCAGTGTGGCTACACAATCACTCATAAGTTTAACAGGAGGTATGTAATCTAGAGGAAGGAAGCCAGCTTTGTGTGACCTATGTAGCCTAACAACAACATAGCTTTGTCCTGACACACAAACTAGATAACAACCTCCGCCCTATCATACCTCACATCATTCACACATACTATCTTTTTTGAAGCCCTAAAAAAAAATGCAAACTAGTTTATAATTACTTCCGATATAATTCTGATTTAGTTACAATGTTGTTGACAGTTAATTTCCAAGTGCTATCAAATGCATTAAAATGGCTGATTGAGCAAATATGAGTTTCAGAATAAAAATTACAGAACATCTACAAGATATTAATGCAATGATCAACAAAATTTCTTTTAAAAGTTTTGTTGACCTTGACATTGCCAATTGACTTTTAATGGCAGAAGATGTACCCCTAATTGAAAACTACATGTAAGCAGACACATCAAGAAATTAATATTTACTATAAGAGCACAGTGTTATAGGTAACTTTGATAATATTTAAATTTACTAAAACAATTTTTACTGGAAAAGTTTCCGAAAATCTACAAATAAGCATCAAATGAAAAGAAAGTTTAATTAATATATGCAGACCTCATTACAAAACTCGGAGACTTGTTTTGCACGATACTTTAAAATGTACAATGTAATTCAATATTTCAATTTACAGGCTTTTGCAGCAAGACAACTTTTGTTGCAATAAAAATGTTCAGTTGTAGTAGAGCAAACTAAGTGTTTAAATAGTGATCCCACGATGTGAAAAAGACTTGATTAACAGTTCAGATCTGACATACAGTGCATACTTTCTTTGCTGCATACACACATCCCAAGTCTGTTAGCACACAGGCACCTCTGCCAGACCTGTATCACATAGCTTCCAACTACAACAGCTTTTTCTTCAGCTTATACACATTTATTGAACATATCATTATCATTATCAACTGATACACACAGATGTTGGACTATTCGGTAATTCCTAAACCCCATTTTAAAACTATCATTGAAAAAAACATTATATGATTTACTAAATATTTTTCAATGTCTCGTTATGCGTCAAGCTACCCTATCTAAGCTGGGATGCTAACACTGTATATGCTAGGGGAAAGATTCCTTCTCCTAGTGAATCACTATCCCAGCTGTTCTTGACTATAAATAACAATTATGAACTGCACTAACACTTAATGATAACAAAGTATTAAACTATTCTTGTGAGCAAGAATTAAAAGTTCTGGTCATTATCTGACTGTGATACAATAAACTTTATTATCTTTTAGTCCTAGCCGAGATCTTAATCCAAATAAACTGACCCAAATAAAAATTCCAAATTAAAAAAAAAATACTATGATAAACATGGCAATAACTTGAATTCCAAAAATAATTCTTTGCTAGAAAATACTTTTATTTATGAATTTTGAAAATATTTTCAAGCTTAACGTTTACAGCATCAGAATCCAAAAAATTTTCATGATTACATGTAGTGAACATATACGTGTCTGTTTAATATCAGACTAACTGTATTTTTTTCCTATGTCCACCTGAACTTTTTAATAGCGTTATCATATGTCATTCACACTTTATCAAACATAAAGTTAGTCATCAAAGACATCAAAATAAGGAAAGTCTTAAGTTTCTTGTAAATTCCTGCAAATGTTTTTTGTCCACATATAAGCCTCACATCCCGACTCAAAAGCAATAAGATGTGGTTCATAATCCAGAGAATACGGTATTGGACAGCTGTATCCAAGATCAGTTTTGATCTTTTCTTTTGTATAACACAAGTAGAAAATGAACCTAGTTCTGGAGCAAAATAATCATACTTCAAATGATAAAATCCAAAACAGTCACATTTGATCCTACTTAATTTCTGTATATTCGGTCAGTTAGGTTGAGTTCAAATTGCAATCCCTTAACCTCCAACCAACAGTCATTTAAGGACTGCCATGCGATGTGTATTGCTTTTTTAAGTTCAGGTGAACCTCCATGTATTAGTGTTGAACTAAGATTTCAAGTGCTACCACACTGAAGTACACCAGGTCAAACTGCAATTATACTACCATAATGTTCAGTATTAATCAAGGAATAGTAAGTTACTAGCATTTCTGAAGACTAGCATATCTTGGCCAGAGGAAAAAACTAAAGTGCTCAACTATA